CTCAATAACCTTGTAAAATGGACCAGAACACTAGAAGCTAGTGGAAGACTTCAGGCTCTTGGTGCCCCAAACCTCAATTCCATGGTCTGGTGTTTGTTATTGTCTTGTCCCTAGTTGCCACAGTTGGGACAGAAATTAATATTGAAACTAATGACAAATCTAAGTATTATACTTGGAATATATATATGTGTGTGTGTATTGTATGTATATATATGTGTGTATATATATATATACACACACACACACACACATATATGCATTGTAATTACATTGCTTCTGCCACTGATTGACTACTGCTTCTTATGTAACTGTTATGTAAATTAAAGTGGGTAGCTGATAAATGAGATTACCATGCGGTGTTTAGGCAGGAGAGAGAAGTTTATGTTTACCTAACTGCTGCTGCTGTCCTTCCTGGGTTTAAGTAGGGAGGGGGTGAGGAGAAGGTGCAGCAGATGTGGCCAGGTGTATGTGTGGGGGAATGTGTGGACAAACTAGATGGGGATGTGACCTCAGGGCTTGGGACCCTCCCTCCTTCCCATGGGAGGCATGACCTGGGGCAGCCCAGGATGTGACCTTGGAGGAGGGGGAGGTGACTGTCTCCAGGTGTGCCAGTTACCTAAGTGACACAGGTACTGGGTGGAGATTTAGCCAAGAGGAGGGCAGAGTATGCTCTCCCTTCCTAGGGTGGACCTTACAGTAACTAGCTTACAAATGAAGAATTAGACCTCAACCTTGAGCTTCTAGAAGAAATCACATTATTTTCCCCTTTGCTAGGAGGCACTACTAAATGAAGAGCCACTTTTAGCTCTATGGTGCCTATATCATGATCTTTATGTAGTTTTATTTGCTTAATGTTGGGGATACACTCTGAGAAATGCATCATTAGGTGATTTCACCATCATGTGAACACCAGAGTGTATACTTCCATAAGCCTGGATAATATAACCTACTACCCACCAAAGCTATGTCGTATGTAGATTGTTGCTCCTAGGCACAAACCTGTTTAGCATGGGCTGTCCTCTAGGCAATTAGTTACAACACAATGGTAAGGATGTGTCTCTAAACAAAAAAGGCATAATAAAATATATGATGTAAAAGACACTAAATTGTGCAGCTGTACAGAGCACTTGTCATGAAGCCACAGGACTGAAAGCTGCTGTGAGTAAGCCAGTGAATGAGTAGTATGGGAATGTGAAGGCAGAGGTTAGGAGAGTTTAGGCTATCCTAAATTTATAATGTTCTTTCCTTAACAATAAATCAAACTTGGCTTAATTGTAACTTTGTTTTTACTTTGTAAACAAATTTTTTCCTCCCACCACAATTCCTTTATAAACGAATTTTAATATGTTTTGTAATAACACTAAGACATAAAAACCATTGTATAGTCACACAAAATGTCCTTCTCTATATCCTTAGTTTTTAAAATTAATTTCTTAAATGTGTGTGTGTGCATGTGTGTATGTTAAAAGCTAAAATACAAATGTACAGTGGAATAGCTTAATGTCCATACTTCCCTCCCAGTACTGGAGATTGAACTCTAGGCCTTGTTCTTACTAGGCAACTGGTCTACTGATGAGCCACATTTCCACCCAACTCTAGCCAAATGTACACATGGTCAGGATCGCCAGCCTCATTGTGTTGCTCCTGCATATTTTGTCACTCCAGAGCTGGATGTTCTGTTCTATTGAGAAGCTCATTTACTGGGTCATACTTCCCATTCATGAACATTTGCTGTAGTGAAATGTTTTAAACTAATCACACATTCATATGGGACCAAATATCACAGGCTAGTAATATGTGATCAATATTTAGCTCTGGCAGTTGTCATGTATCAGGCAACATATCATGATTGTTTTTGAGGTGGAGGCCATGAGTGAGACACTAAATGGGAGAATGATACTTTTTAACACAAGACTATGAAAAAATTGGATATGCAGATGGGAAAAAGTAAGCTTTGTCTTCTATTTATTTATTATAAGGTGAAATAAATCATTAAACTATATGTGAAGTTGGAATCATGGGGCTTCTAGAAGAAAGCAAGGGAGACTATCCTCATAACCTTTAAGGGAAGAATTTCTTCATGATCTTGACTTAGGAAAGATCTCTAACATAAGATACAAAAGCACTCTGGCTTGGATGGTGCCCACCCCTTCCTTCCCTCCTTCCCCCCAATTCCTGTCCTACCCAGAATTTCAGATTTTTTTAAATTTGGAACTAGGATTGTTTCAGTTGTAATTAGGATAATACTAATGGAGCAGGGTGTGCCTTTTATCTGTTGTACCTGGTTGACCTTTCAAGAAGAGAAGAGAAGAGACATTCAGGGAGAATGACATGTGGTGAAGAAGGCTGAGATCTAAGCGATGAACCTTCAAGCCAAGATTACAAGAAGTGCTGGCATCACACAGGCAGCAGCCTCACATATCTCTATTGACCCAGTCTCTCAATTGCATCAAGAGGCTATGTGGAGAGAATGGCCCGTACCATGCAGGTTTGTGTAACAACATTTTATTATGTTTGTACAATGATGGAACAAATCTCCTAACATTGCATTTCTCAGAGCATCTTGACCTTGAGAATCACTTGATTGCATTGTCAAAAATTATTAAGCTGCACCCAGGCACTGATGTCTCATGCCTGTAATCCTAGCTATTTAGGACATTGATACAGGAGGATAATTCAGTTTGGGCCAATTAGGAATGCGTGTGAGACCCCTTCTCAACCAGTATCTGGGTATGCACCTGTCATCCAACCTATCTATGGGCAGAAAAATCTGAGAGCTTTGTCTCAACAGAAGTAGGTATGGTGATGCATACTTGCTATCATAATTACGAAGGGAAGGGAACAAATAGGAAAACTTTGGTCCAAATATGGGTCCAGATACAAAGCAAGGGAACCTATCTCACAACTGGCAAGTGCAAAAAAGGACACAAGGCAAAGATCATCAGTAAGAGTCTCTGCCTAGCAAGTGAGCTGCATTGTTTCACTACATTAACAGTGTAATTAACCTCTTTTGATTGGGATTTATATTCTAGTTATGTTACACTGGCCAACTTATACATACATTAGTTGAAAAATGTTTACATGGCTGTTTCAGTTATACATAAATAAGTCTCATTATCATGTGCTCATTTGACAGTCTTGTCAATCTAGATTAGGAAAATCTTGGGTTTTGCTATGCATTATTTATTTAGGTAAATTATACTCCTAATGATCAAGCTACTGTTTTTTCATTACCTTCTCTCCACCTAGGATTCTCCTATAGGATTATGTTTGCTAGTGTAATGATCCAGTTAGAACTGTATAATGGCTAAATACACATTTATACACACTGAATTAAACACTTTTTTTTTTTACATTTCATTGTATATAAATTATACTTCAGTAAAGAACAGCAATGAAAAAGATTATGCTAATTTGTTCTGGCAGGGTCAGTGTAGCTTGGTATATATGGAGGGTTTATCTGACCAAAGCTTTTAGGTCCTTAACATTCCTTCCTAAACAATTCTAAATCAGTATTCATTTTAAGATCAAGCCATAAATGTGCTGAGTAATCTACTAACTGAAAACTTTGTTTCCTATTCAAATGCAAACTTTGTCAAGTTTGATAGCCTTCGCTTCCTGGAAGATTTCACTTAAGCCTTTCCTACACAACATTCTGGAGCTATCATTGTTGTTCTTAGGTCTTTCTTTACTTTTTATGTTAACATGTAACCCAGTTAAACCTGTCCAAGTATATAACTGTATTTCATTCTTCTCAATGACAAGGAATCTTCTACTACATAATCCCCAACCAAGAGAGATTAAAGGTGTTTCCAGCCTTCTAAAATTATAGTTGATGCAAATGTAATGATAGTATAGGAATGAGCTCTTAAAAGCAGAAAGGCTATCTCTAAGCATATGTACATGGGAAACATTTGGATAGATGTTACTAAACTAACGCTCTATAAAGAGATAGAGATTGAACTACTCTTTTCTGAGAATGAATGATAAGTTATTTCCTCTCCGTTTCCTGTAGTAAGCATTAGCAATCTTTGTTTTTTCATTTCTGGAAAACTGATAGCCAAACCGATAAGTATCCATTGCACCAGTATTATAAAAATTGACAAACAGAGGTGCTAGGCTCTGGTGACTCATTCTAGCTACTCAGGAGGCTTAGGCCTGAGGACAGAAGCCCATCCATGTGCAGACAAATCCAAGAGATCCTTATGTACAATTAACTAGAAAAATAAAAATAAAAAAAAGGAACCGGGGGCGTGGCTTACATGGTAGAATGCCAGCCCCCAAAGGGAAAAAACCCTCAGGAGCGCCAGGCCTTGAGTTCAAGGCCACCCCCCCCCCCCCCCACACACACACCTGAGGGGAAAGTACCCTTAACTGCCGTACTTACACAATCTGTATTCCAGGGCTAGAGGGGGAAACACATCCATTAGATTGCTAAACTAAAAGCTTCTGAAAAGGCAACGTTTTTGAGGGGAAAGAAGCGCTCTACGGGTCTTTGGACCTCTGGACCCATGGCCAGGCCACACAGGCAGGCAGGAAAGTGTCGTTGGCCGGGCTGGGGTCACCAGGGGGAGTGTAGGTAGGCGATGCGATGCCGGCCAGGCCTTTGGCACTGCGGACCTGCAGAAACGCAACGCCCGACCCCAGCACCTTCACCCAGCCCGCCACGCGCGCCGCCGAGGAGAACCGGAAGCCCAAGGGGTGGAGGGAAGGGAGACGGAGTGGGCGCTGCGGGCTACATCCGGCCGCCGGGGGCGGGGCCGACGCGGCTCGCGCGCGACCTTGACGCATGCGTGATGCACGGCTGCTCCCTGCCGGCCGGCGGGAAGGACAAGCCGGCAGACCGCCTGCTCGCCGGCGGTCGAAGGTCGTGCTGCACGTTCGCTCGCTGGCTTGCTCCCGGGCCGCCTCAGTGTCCTCCGTCACCCCGGGAGGCCTGGCTTTTGCCATGAATCTTGCCATTTTAAACTCTTCACTTCGTGTACCCCGCAAAGCGTCCTTCTGCTTGCAGGAAAGGGAAAGTTAGAAATGGAGAGTTTAAAAGAAAAAGAAGAGCTCGAGTGTGAGGCAGAGATGGAAGGAGAGGCCCAGGCCCTGGACTGGGACAGCGATGAGACGGTGATTGAGGGGTCCGTGACAGAGAGCGACCCAGAAGACGAAGAACTGCCGTGGAAAAGGTGACCACGTAGGGCAGAGCGAGGGCCCCTCGCGCCCCTCGGCCAGGGGTGTCCCAGGCGCTCCGAGCTTCGAGGGGGACAGGGGGGTGTCACCGTGTAAAGAAACGGTAAATGAGCAGCCATGGGTTCCCTACCCTCCTTAGGGACCAAAGAAGGCTTTTTTGACTAGAGCTGTAAGTCTTTTTTGCACAGGCAGATGTCTTGAGTGTGAATCCCTCACATGAATTTTGCACCTCCCCGCTTCAGCTCAGGTTTAGGAGATGGTTAATTGAATTTCTCCCAGGAAAAGCACGTGTTGAGAGAACTGGTGCCTACGAAACCAGATGGGTATTTGGTAAGAATAAAAGCAATGAGTATGGGTTTTAGCTCACCGAAGTCTTTCCTAAACAAGTTCTGTCTGCTAGACACAGGGGGACAGAATCAAAAGGATGAAGCCACTTACCTTTGAAAAAACTTCAGGTCAGGAAAAAGACTTAAGCAGATAGTTTCAGTATAATGTGGGAAATCCAGGGATGAAAGTATATTCAAAGTGCTGTAGAAGACCAGAATAGCTGCTCTTCCTTCAATCTTGGTGTTTCTCAGAGTTGGCTAAGTTGATGTCTGAGAAGAAGCTTGAAGATGGGGTAGTAGTTTTCCAGATGAGGAAGAGGTTGGTTCTTGGTCAGGGAATTGCATGAGTCAAGGTATAGAGACAGGCACAACATCATGTTCATGTGTTTGGGATGTACAGTTAAAACTAACAATTGTCAAACATGGGGTAGAGAGTGGTGAAAGGTAAAGGTAAGGTGTGGTCACATAAAGCCTCATACATCCTATGATGGTCTCTACTGGGAGTCCATGTCAAGGACTTTAAGTAGAAGACCATCATAATCAGATTTCCATGGTCTGATATGCCTTAGTAACGCTTTCAGATTTTAATATGCTCATGATTCACTCTGGAATCCCGTTACTGTGATTCTAATTCAGGAGTTCCAACCTAGGGATTAAATGATTCTAAATTTCTAGCAAACTTTTAATATAAAGTTGGTATAATTTAAACAGGAATTCCCTTTTATAAATCAATGCTATAGAGATTAGGTTAGGGATCATCAGTAGTTATAGAAAGATGTGAATAGTGCTCTCCTAGTAAGACATGGTAGGTATGGAGGGAAAAGGAAAATTAGAGAATTCTTTAGAAGGTCTGGGAAGGTGGCTCAGTGGTAGAGCGCTTGCCTTGCATGCCTGAGGCCCTGGGTTCGATTCCTCAGCACCACATAAGCAAAAAGAAAAAAGCTGGAAGTGGTGCTGTGGCTCAAGTGGTAGAGCGCTAGCCTTGAGCTGAAGAGCTGAGGGACAGCGCCCAGGCCCAGAGTTCAGGCCCCACGACCGGACCAAAAAAAAAAAAAAAAGAATTCTTTAGAAAATAAATTTGGTAGGACATGGTTAATTAGATTGGGAGCAAGGGAAAGTATAAAGGTTTTTGGTTCTTTTATGTGTGTGTGCAGTAATATTTGCTCTTACTGACATATGGGGCATATTTTAACAGATGCATAAATCTCAGAGAAACCACCCCAATTAAGATTCAAAGCAGTTCAATAACCCTAAAAAAAGTCTTACTCCTTTATAGCCAACTGCATTTGAATTACTGTTCTCTCATATGGAGGTAACTTTTTCCCCACTCTGATTTTTTAAAATAGTACTTGTTTTGATTTTGTTTCTTGCTTGGCTTTGATTCTCAACAGCTTGTGATGTGTCTGGGTATGATTTTCATTGTATTTGTGTTCGGGGTTCACTCATCTTCTTGAATCTGTATAAATTCATGTTCTTTCCCCTCTCCCTTCTTTTCTTCACTATATAGGTCTAGGGTTAGGCCTTGAACCAAGCCAGGAAACAAAACAGACCAAAAATCAAAACAAAAATAAAATTGGGCTCTCCCATTACAGATAGTTATTTTCATTGCAACTTTGGTCCTCTGTCTATTTATTAATTTACTTTTCAATGTACTTTTCATATGTACTTTTGATGTAGCTTTTTAAAAAACATGTTCCCACAGTTTTTAGTTGTAATGATTAGCCTGTTTTGGCAGGCCAATCATTATTTCCATCTGATTTATTTTTACACTTACCTGCAGTGTCAAGGAAGCATTGTTTTTTCAGTCCTCATAGTCCAAGGTTAAAAATTAATATCTTTCATTGGCATGGAAATAAAATCAAAGTTTAAATAGAGATGGGACAGAATGGTGGTGGTTTTGATTTTCTTTCTTCTTCATCCTCTTGCTTAGTTGTATGTTGTTCATCCTGACTGTCTTTCATGTACAAGTTCCCATAGGAAACTGAGGCCCTGGTATGGCAGATATCTCTAGCAGACAGAATATTACACAGTTGACTATGGTTAAATACTCCTTAAGAAAAAAAAAAAAAAAAAAAAAAAAACAGATCTTTTTGCTAAGAACTGAATTTGGTGATCTTTGGGGCTAAGACTTTGAAAGACTCAGGATGCCATGTATTAATATTGTATGAAAAAGCACTTGAAAGCCTAGATTTGGTCCTACTGTTGCCTCAAAAATTTGTACTAAGGTGCAGATGATCCTCCTTGGGGTTTTGTTAGTACTAAGACACACTTTGACAAGCTCTGGCAAGTGAGCTGAGTAATGCACAAAGAAGATTTTTTTAAAAATTGTTTCTCATTTATTTTCATTTTTCATCATGCTTGGTTAAAATCACATGTAATTAACATGTGATCTGGATGGTAGTGGTGCACTTTATAATAATAGCTACTCAGGAGGTACAGATTGGGAAGATCACAGTTTAAGAGCAGCCGAGGCAAAACATTTATGAGCCATCTCAGCCAGTAGCTAGGCATGGTGGTACAGCCCTGTCATCTCAATTTTGTAGTTGAAATCAGGAGGATCATGGTTCCAGGTCAGCTGTGGCAAAATAGGTCACAAGACTTCACCTCAACAGAACCATCTGGTCATGCTACGACCTGCCTGTCATTCCAGCTGCAGTAGCAAGTGTAAATTGGAGGATCATAGTTCATGCTGGCCCAGGGCAAAAGCAAGATGTTCTTTCAAAAATAATGACAAAAAAAGGCTGGAAATGTAGCTCAAAGAGTAGGACCCCTATCTAGCAATCACAAAGCCCTGCATTCAAACCCCAGTACTGTCAAAAAATAAAAAAACATCCATAAATAAGATGAACTGACTTATTATAATGCTTAAATAAGTTACAACATGTCCTTATGATGAATACTTAATGGCTTAGGGAAGAATTTTAATGATACTTCAAATGTTTAAGTGAAAATTGGAGTTTCTAAAACCTTGTGTAAATTTTCAGCACTCAAGGGTGGTGTTCTGTTGCTTAAGCTACACCTCCAATTCCAACTTTTTGTTGATTAATTGGAGCTAAGTGTCACACACACTTTTCTGTTTTGTCTGGCTTCAAGCCTCTATCCTCAGATCTCAGTTTCCTGAGTAGCTATAATTACAAATGCCCAGTTAAATTTACATATTTTTAAGAAACATAAAAGATAAAAACCACCTATCCAATAGGGCATACATACCAGGCACTGTTTTAGAGGCTGCTTATCATAAACTGAAAACTAATTAATATTAAGGAATTACTGATTTAATGTAATAATTATTGTTCTTTTGAAAGATTATGTTTAAGAGTGTATTTTAAAGTTACATACTGAAAGGTTTCTATATGAAATGAATTAGTATGTCTAGAATTGACTTTAATCCATTGAGTGACCAACAGGGGGCAGAGTTGTGCTGATAAAGTAAAAATGAGCTTGAGTAAGTAAATAAACCAAAAGCTTAGTACCAAACTACATTTTCATGCCTAAGTACAGATGATTTGCTGTTACACGAATAGATTCTGGAAACTGTTTTAATTTCAATTTTTATTATGATAAATTATATGTTAGATGAATTTATCATTTTAACCATTTTAGTTTTAGTGGCTTTGAGTACTTCCACTTTGTTCTACAACCATTACCACTGTCTCTAGAATCTTTTAATCTTCCCAAGATGATACTGTATGTCTATTAAATAACTCCTTATTTCATTTTCCCTTTACCCATGGAAGCTACCATTTTACTTTCTGTCGCTTAACTTGACTACTCATATCTCATAGGAGGATATCTCATATGGATGAACTCACCTAGTATGTGTCCCTTATTGTCTGGTTTATTTCAATTAGCATACTGTCTTCAAGTTTCATCTAAGTTGTAGATGGTATCTGTATTTCTTTTCCAGAAAAATAATGTTCCACTGTACGTATAAAAGTCATATATCCTTGTTTCCAGTAATGGACAATTGGTCTCTTTTTGGCTATTGCAGGTAGTACTTCTATAAACAAAGGTCTGTACTAGTCTCTGCCTTCCATTCTTTTGTGTATGTACACAGAAGTGGGAGTGCTGTTTTAAATGAGTTCTGTTTACTTTGTTAAGGAACCAGTGTGCTTTTTTTAAGGTAGTTATATACTATTTTTACATTACTATAAACCATGCCAGCATTGCATATGAATTCCAATTTTTCACATCCTTTTCAACATTTTGGTTATTTCTGTTGTTTTTTTTCTAAGTATACTTTTTAACAACTACACTAACAAGTGTGGTATGGTATTCCACTGTGGTTTTGATTGTATTTCCCTAAGGATTAGTGATGTTGAGCCTCTTTCATATACTTATAGGACATTTCCTCTTCTTCTTTGCAGAAATGACCATTCAGGTCCTTTGCTTTTTTTTTTTTATGTGATACTGTACTGGGGTTTGCACTCAGGACTTGCACTTGGGAAGCACGTGCTCTACCACTTGAGCTACTTTGCCAACCTCTTTTGGCATTTTTTTTTGATGGAGTCTTGCTTTATGCCTCTGCTGCAGTTCTTTTTGTGCATGCCTTTGGCTTCAAACCATAGTCCTCTGACCTCTTCCCCATAAGAACCTAAACTACAGGCTTGAACTACTGCACGTAGCCTTTTGCCCACTTTTTAAACAAAAAGATAAATACTTAAGTTTTCCAAGTAGTATACTCAATGCTTTGAATCACAGCTATTTCTTAGTCTGTATCCCTCACTAGGTTTGGAGATTATTGAGGTCCATGGGTCATGTATCTTCTTTTTATTTATTATTTTTGATGGTCATGGGATTTGAACTCAGGTCCTGAGCTTTCCTGCTCAATGTTCATGCTCTGTCACTTTGAGTCACAGCTCCACTTGTGGTTATTAGTGGTTAGTTGGAGGAGAAAAGAGTTTCATGGCCTTTACTGCCTGGGCTGGCTTGAACCATGATCCTCAGATCTCAGCCTCCTGAGTAGCTAGGATTACAGGCGTGAGCCACCAGTGCCTGCATCATATGTCTTCTTTGTCTCTTCAGTGCTACCTCAAGTATAGTAATAACAGTAAGAAATAAATTACAAAACTTCAAGGAATTCTCTGCCTGTATATTATTAAAAGCATATATTCTCCGGTAACCTGAGATTTTAATTTCAGCTTCTTCATGGTATAGAAAAATATGGAGGAAAAAATTTAAAATAAGGATCTCTCAATGATCTAATTTCACCAGTGTTAAAACTATTACCAGTTGTTTCTTACTGTCAAATGCCAAAAATAATAGCATAATATTTGTAAAAATGAACATGACCATGATTATTTTTTCTTCTTGAATAAAGTTTCAACTTAAATATACATTTCTGAAATAATACCTGAAATATAAATGTTAAAAATAGTGTAAAACTGAGAATTTTAGCAAGTTCAGATAGAATAAAAATGATAGCTAAATATTAATATTTGTTTCAGATACATAATAATCTGTGCCTTTTTTTATTTTTTGGCATTTGAAAGGTTACTCTTTGATCAAGACATATCTTCTAGATCTGTGTTCAGTCTTCATCCTGGTATGAATAGAAGGTGCCAAGGTGAGAAAAATTCTCTTTATTATTATATCAGTTTCATAACTATCTATACCATTAACTGCTGCTTTTAAAAACTGTAACATCAATTAGTTATACAAGGGAGTTTCATTTTAACATGTCCATTTATGTATACAATGCATCATGATAATAATTTTCCCTTCCATCATTTTCCCTCCTCTTTCCCAAACTAGTTTTATCGAGTTATCTTACTCAGGTTTCACACATGTTCATAAAGTATTTTGACTATATTTACCCTCCTTTGTTCTCTCTGTTCATCTGTCCCTCTCTCACTAGTACCTACACAATAGATGATTGTCACATCTTTGTTTTTTGGCAGTGGTGGGGATTGAACTCAGAGTCTCATGCTTTTAGGCTTAGGTGCTTTACTATTTGAGCCATACCATCAGCCTTGCTTTTTTTTTTTTTTTTTGGGTCCGGTCGTGGGGCCTGAACTCTGGGCCTGGGCGCTGTCCCTCAGCTCTTCAGCTCAAGGCTAGCGCTCTACCACTTGGCCACAGCACCATTTCCGGGTTTGTTTTTTTTTTTTTTCTTATGTGGTGCTGAGGAATCGAACCCAGGGCCTCAGGCATGCAAGGCAAGTGCTCTACCACTGAGCCAACTCCCCAGCCCCAGCCTTGCTTTTTATATTTAGTCTTATACTTCAACGTTATAAAGTTAGTTTCTTTCTTTTTTTCTTTTTTTTTAATGTTTTTTTTTTCGTTGTGAAAATACTGTACAGAGGAGTTACAATTACATGAGCAAGGTAATAAGTACATTTCTTATCAAGCATTGTTATCTCCTCCTTTGTTTTTCCCCTACTATCCCTGCCCTCCCATCTCCACAACTACACTCCCCCCTTCTCCCCCCACCCCTGCTCCGCCCCCCGCCAAGTTAGTTTCTTTCTGTGGTATGGGGAATTGAACCCAGAATTTTATACTTGCTAAGCAAGCATTCTCTACTCATGCCTTGGTTTTGAGCTAGAGACTTCCCAACTTTTCATGGGATGCCTTTGAACTTGTGATCTTCCTGCCTCCACCTTGGTAGTAGCTGAGATTTCAAAGTATGCACCTCAGTGTCTAGTTTGCACAAAGTTTCTTGTAAACATTTGTAGTAGGTTCTAAGGACTATTAAAATCTATTGCAATAGAGACAACAATAGGAATTATAGCTTCCAGAAAATAGCTAAGATTTCTAGAAAGGGCCTGGTTTTGAAGTGGTATCTAGATAGTTGTTTTTCCATTCCTCCCACATCTCTAGCTTAATTCTAAAACTTGTCCGTGTATAAAAGTGGAAAATAACTTGTTTATAAATTATTTGTGTGTGTATGTATGTGTGCATGTGCCCGTGTATGCTAGCCCTGGGGCTTGAACTTAGGACCTAGACGCTGTCCCTGGGCTTTTTTGCTCAAAGCTAGCACTGTAACACTTGAGCCACAACTCCACTTCTGCCTGACTGGCTTTGAACTGGGACCCTCAGATCTCAGCCTCCTGAGTAGCTAGAATTACAAGTATGAGCTCCCAGCATCTGGCTGATTTTTATTGTTTCTAATATATTTATTCTTGAAATAAAAATTTGCCACACACCCTTGCTATCTGTATATCATATGTATGTATGTATATATATTTTTATTGCCTTTCACTATACTTCCTGAGCTCACTTTTAAGTTGACATTAACATTTCTTGGAAAATTTTACCTTAAAAAAGGCCAATTCTAGAGTATTGGATTAAATGATAAGATTATTTCCTTTTATGGTTTCTTCCTATGTGTCTTTTATTTTGGAGGATTTTTACAAACTGATGTTAAAGAATAAAGAAATTTTAAGAACACATGAGAGTTTTCTAATTTTTATGTATTATTTTGTAGATTACAGTCTTTTCCTGTATGTTGTTTTATAACCCAGTGGAAAGTTAAAATTTCATTTTGGAGTAGTCTTTACTACTTGTTTTGTCTCCAGAATGCCTTCTAATTACTTATAAAGTACCAGTAGAATGGAGTTAAATGTCTTTCACTGTCCAACAAAGTTTTTTTCTCATTCTTTTCTTTTTACCAGTTATTAATATGCAAGATTCTTTAGAATATAAAAATAATGTAGAAACTAAGAAGTTTTATTTTCTACTCATTAATTTCACTCTCATTTAGCAGTGGGAGTTTGGTGTTTGCATATTCTTCCAGACTTTTTTAGGCCTCTAATACCTTCATAATTGGTATCATATTCTGTCCTTGTTTATATTTATCAGCCACAATCTGTCATGTTTTTGTTTTGTTCTTTTGAGACACTGTCTCGCTATGTTGCTCAAGATGGCCTTAAACTCAAGATCCCTGCTTCCTATATGTTATTACAGGCATATGACACAATGCAATTTTTTTTAGTTTTTAATTTTTTTATTTTAAATAAGTTTAATGAAATAACAAGATACTGATTCTAAGGGAATTTTTTTTGTACTAGTATTGAGGCTTGAACTCAGGGCCTGGGCCCTGTCCTTGAGCTCTTTTTGTTCAAGGCTTGTACTCTATACCTTGGGCCACTGCTTTACTTCAAGCTTTCCGGTGGTTAATTAGAGACAATAGTCTCGGGGACTTTCCTGCTTAGACTGGTTTTGAACCACAATCCTCAGATCCCAGCCTCCTGAGTAGCTAAAAACTTGCTAAAACTTGGGCCCAGCAGCCAGTTTTTTTTTTTATAAGTAGACACTAGAGGAATAGCAGTAGTGTCTTCATCCTTCATTTGTACTAGTGTAGATGTCTGTTTCATTGGTTGGCTGCTTGTCAAATCTAATTTGTTTAATTTGTAGATCCAGTAGGCTTTCTTGGATTGACTAAGTGGAATGTACCTTTTAACTTTAAGCTACATAACAAACCATCTGCTCCACCACTTACAAACTAAGATAATTATTGTTCTCAGTCTTGACTCCTTCCTTGTGCTTCCATCAGTCATGAAGGTGCCAGACTCTTCTCAGTTACTAACATACAAGTGCTACATCAAAGGCACTTTCCCTAGCCTTTTCTATCGCTACCTGCTATATACATTATATTCCTTATTTAGTGCGTTTATGATATTTATGATTTATCTCAATACTATTAAAAATAAATATTCAAATAGTACTACTGACCAGTTTTCCTTAGAATAGCTATCTAAAATAGATTTGCTGTTAAGGGATGTACATGTGTTAGCTCTCGATAGATATTATTTCTGAAATATGGGTTAATACAATTTTTACCCTTAGATCCAACACAAAATATATTCAGTCATGGCCAATAGTTTCTGATTATTCAAATTCTAATTTATATTTTCAGAAAATATCAAGGTTATATGTATTTTAATATTGGTTTTCATAGTTTTTATTTTGTATATGAATTGCCTGAATATGTTATTTTCATTTTATAATGGATTTATAACAATGTATTATAAATTAATGGTAGCAAACCAGGGTTATTTATATTATAGTTTTACTGAGAATTAAAGTTACCTTTTCATGTTATTCATGATATATTTTGTGGTAAAAATTATAAGTTTTTAAATTTTGGTACTGGCTTTTGAACTCAGGGTTTTATTCTTGTTAGGCAGGTACTCTATCACTTAAGACATGCTTCCAGTTCTGCTTTATGCTGGTTATTTTGGAGATGAAATCTAGTGAACTTTTCTGTCCTAATTGGTCTCAAACCATTATCGTTCAGACCTCAGACTCCTAAATAGCTAGGGTTACAGATGTGAGCTACCAGTGTCCAGATACAGAAAATTTTGAATTGTTATATAGTATAATCTATCTTTTCTGTTAGTTTATCTCCCTCCCCTTCTCCCTTCTCTTCATTGTCCTCCTCTACGTGCTCTTCTTTTCATTTCATTTTGGTCAAATGTAGGATTTTTTTTTTTTTTTTATTGTGAGGCTTGAACTCAGGGCCTCACAGTCCCTGAGCTCTTTTGCTCAAGGCTAGCAGTCTCCCACTCTGAGCCACAGTACCACTTCTATTTTTTCTGGTGGTTAATTAGAGATGAGAATCTCATGGACTTTCCTGCCTGGGCTGGTCAAGCCTCAATCCTCAGATCTCAGTCTCCTGAGTATCAAAGACTATAAGGCAAGGGCCACTGGTGCCCAGCTCAAATGTAGGAATGTTTCATCTACCTGAAAACTGAACAGAAAATAATTCTTATATTTGTTTTGGTTTATTAAATTTATATCTTCAAGATGGTTGATATATTTTGCCATATGGGAAAGGAAGGGCTCTAACTTTATTTTTTCAAATACTCAAACAACTGTCTTATTTATTGATGATCCAATTTACTGTTTCAAATAGTATGATTATGCTATATTACATTCATATATAAGTAGTTCAGTCACTATATTTTTATTATTTCAAGCTTTTGGTACTTTTTTGTTTTGTTTTTATTTTTGTATGTTTCTTTTTTTTTTCAGTAGTGGAGTTTGCTAGTTGGTGTTTTACTGTTGAGACATGCATCAGTACATTTTACACTAGTTGAGAAGGTATTCTACATAGAGTATGTTTTCATTTATGTTTATAATTTAACTTCCACCAATGAGAGAAGACTTTTCTCTTTGTCTTTCTTAGCCTTTCATTTAACAATTTTTTCTAGATTCATCTGCTTCCTTGCAAATGACATAATATCATTCTTTCTGGTCATTGAGTAAAACTAATATAAAATTATATAAATGTGTGTGTATGTTTGTGTTTGTGCCCACTCATCCCTGTCAGGTATCTGGGCTGTTTCCATAACTATGCTGTGGTAAACAGTACAGCAGTGAGCATGGTTATAATAACAGAGTTATTGTTATTAACAAGCTCAACAATGAATAAATATTTTTACTGTATTTTTACTTTAGCTTTTGAATAAATACCCAGGGGTGGTATTGATGGTTGTAGGATAGTTCTATGTTTAGTGTTTTGAGGTATTGCCAAACTACCTGCTAGAGTGGTTGCACTAGTTTACATTCTCATTGATATATAATAAGGTTCCTTCTTTCCCATATCCCTATCAGCATTTGATGCTATTTGTATTCTTGTTAATAGCTATTCTTACTGGGGTGAGCCAGAATCTCACTGCTTTGGTTTGCATTTCCTTTATGACCAGTGATGTTGAGTATTTTTCATGAGTTTATTGGCCGTTTTTACTTCTGAGAAATCTTTTAAGGTGCTAGAATGTTTGGCTCTTGATAAGGACCTTCTTTCTGAATTGTAGATAGCTACAATGTTTCCGTATGCTCTTACAACCTCTTCTTTGTCCTCATTGAGCTCATATGACCTCTTCTTGGTGCTCTTTTATTTTTGTCAAGAAGATAGTACTGTCTCTTTTTTCTTCTTTTCATAAAGATGTGAACTTATCTAAATTTAATAGCCTCCAAAATATATCACTCTTGATTCCATTATGTTCATCTTAAGAGTCAATCCTGGCCAGGGACCCATGGCTCACATCTGTTAACCTAGCTACTCAGGAGGCTGAGATCTGAGGATTGTAGTTCAAAGCCAGCTTAGGTAAATAAAGTCCCTGAAGCTCTTTGTTTCCAGTTAACTACTTAATAGCCAGAAGCAGAGCTGTTGCTCAAGTAGTAGAGTACCAGCCTTGAGCACAAAAGCTCAGGGACAGTATCCAGGTCTTGAGTTTAAAGAGAAAAAGAAAGAAAAAGGAAGGAAGGAGGGAAGGTAGGTAGGCAGGCCAATCATGGTTGGTGCTTCAGAAAAAAAAGCCAGAAGTGGTGCTGTGGCTCAAGTGGTAGAGTGCTAGCCTTGAGCTGAAGAGTTGAGGGACAGCGCCCAGGACCAGAGTTCAGGCCCCACGACCGGACCCCCCCCAAAAAAAACAAGTTATTTATTATTTCCATTAGTATTTAAATCTACTTCATTATATATATGTAAATATATATATATATATATATATATACACACACACACACATGAAACAAAGAAATAGCAAATGCTAGTTTATATTTAGTGTAATGTATGTGTCTTCTTCCAAGTAATATTTTAAAGCAATGGCATATGAAAGTGATGATTAAGAAATTATAATAATACAATTTTGGTGTGCTGGAGGGCTAAAGCTAGGTCTTCACACATTCAGCATGTACCTTCCATCTACCTAATTACTTTAAGTGACATTTTGAAGTGTTTATGAAGTCCTTGAGTCATTGTCAAAGCAGAGCAATAAAACTATTACAAATGATTCATGATTATATTTCCTTTTAGGCATGCTTTCTCCTGAGATTAAACTTGGGATGAAATTCAGAAAAGACTTACAAGAGCGAATGAATAAAAATAAGATGATGCCCATTCTTAGTTCAGATACAGTATTACAGGTATGTTACATGTTTACTAAATGCATATGTATTAAAATTGTAAATCTATCTCTCAAAGTATATTACTAATGATAATACTATAGTATGGTTCTTTTTTTAACCTTCTCTATTTTCTCTCTCTTTTTTATGCAGTGAATTTGACCTCGTGATTTTATTGTCTTCATAACAAAAGTTGCAATTCAGAAACCATTATTTTATTATCCTCATAACAAAAGTTGGAGCTTAGAACTTTGCCCCTTTCTCTTTTTATCTCCACCCAGTTCACAATGTTTGCATCTCTTAATAGCTAGCCTTCTCTTAGATCTACAGCTGGGCTCAACACATTAAAGTCTCAGCACAATCTTCTTTGTGGTTTTAGCTTTTTTCTGGAAAATTGGCTTAGTATGACCACCATAGCCACTCTGCTTCCTGTAATAATAATAATACTTTCCCTGGGCTTACAGAGAATCCTTGCCCTTCTTATACTGTGTTACTTGGTGAGGTTGGTGCTTGCCACACTTTTTACAAACAGTACGGTGGGTTTTAGGAACATTAACCATGATGACAGGAATCCTGCAGCAGCACCAGAAAAGTTCTCTCTTTCTCTCCCTCTCCCTCTCCCTCTTCCTCTCCCTCTCTCTCTCTCTCTCTCTCTCTCTCTCTCTCTGTCTCTCTGTCTCTGTCTCTGTCTCTCTCTCTCTCTCTTTTGTGCCAGAGCTGAGGTTTGAACTGAGGGCCAGGGCACTGTGCCTTATCTTTTTTGTTCAAGGCTAGTATTCTGCTACTTGAGCTATAGTTCCTCTTCCAGCTTTTGGATGGTTATTTGTAGCTAAGAGTCTCGGGGACTTTCCTGTCTGGGATGGCTTTGAACTGTGACCCTTAGGTCTCAGCTTTCTGTGTACTTAGAATTAGAAGCATGAGCTACTTTAGTGCCTTGCTCCCTTACCTCTTTATCAGTCTAGTTCTTCACCCCAACATTTATTTTAGAAAGGTTATTTAAAATACTTTCTCTTCCCTCCTCTTGTGTATTATGAATAATTAGAATATTTGTGATATAATTTGAAATATGGAACACTAAAAACCCTTCTGTTCAGTCTTATGTATGTAAAAATACATGTGCATTTATATAAACTCATAGCACAACCCAGGACTTGTTTGTTAATTTTGTGGAACTGGGGCTGGGCACTCTCCCTTATCTTTTCCACTCAGAACTGGCTAGAGCTCTTGAGTCATAGCTCCAATTCTTGCTTTTTGGTGGTTAATTGGAGATGAGAGTCATGTACTTTCGTGCTAGGGCTGGCTTTGAACTTCAGATCTCAGCCTCCTGAGTACCCAGGATTACAGATATGAGTCACTGGTGCTCAGCTTTTGTTTATTTTAAATGCAAACGCTCTGGGGAAAAGTAAAGGGTAATTAAGTTAGCACTTTGGCATGACTAAGTTAGCTAGCCAGAGGTATTTATCTACAAGTCCTTAAGGAATATAATGGCTGACAGCAATTCCAAAGAGCTGCTCTGAGGGTCTTTTTAATATCATACGTAGAAGAGTTTATTACATCTAATAAAAAGAAAAATATTAAGCACCAGATATTTTTCCTTAAAACTGAGATGTGTGTATTTGGCTTCTAAAAGTTTATGTTTTAGCAATTTCTAAGTTAAGGAAAAAGATTATTTTCTCCCCCTAGCTTTAGTTCTGTTTCTTTGAAGAACTCTGACCAACACTAAGTGGATATCACTGATCTCATAATCATTTTTTATCTGTGTGACAATTGTTTGACAAGGTTGATTACTCAATCTTGCAGTTATTGTGGGCAGACTACTTCTTTGATTTTCTACTCTCTGAGATACAGGACTCTTAGTTTGACAGGTGTGATTCCAGGTTGAATCCTTTTTGCTTTTTTTTCTTTCTTTCATTTTTATGCATATATGGAGGTGGAATCAATTGAAATGAACATCAGAGACAATCTGGAAAGAGTAATGAAGATACCCAGGCTTGCTTGATAAGCATGTAATAGAGAGGGAACAAGGTTAGCAAAGCTAGAACTCATGTGTTTGTGTATCTTTATTAGATGGGTAACATTCTGTCTTGCCTCTTTGAGCACATGCCGCTTGTCTGCCAAGTGCAGGTTGATTTTTCAAAACATAAGAACACCTTGACTATTGAGCTTATCATTAATACTATTGATATCTTTTTTCCAACTCATTAATTCTGATCTGATTTAATCCTTACAGTCTTAAATTGTTCTTTCTGCCCAGACGGTGCAGTGGCTTAGGAATATTTTTGGAGAGGAATGGAATGAAAAGAGAGCTTTGCACAAGACAGTTCTAATTCAAATGTTAAATACTATGTTAAAATTGGGCTGGGAAGGTGGCTCAGTGGTAGAGCACTTGCCTTGCATGCTCGAGGCCCTGGGTTCGATTCCTCAGCACCACATAAGCAAAAAGAAAAAAGCCGGAAGTGGCGCTGTGGCTCAAGTGGTAGAGTACTAGCCTTGAGCTGAAGAGCTGAGGGACAGTGCCCAGGCCCAGAGTTCAGGCCCACGACCGGACCCCCCCAAAAAAATAAAAAATACTATGTTAAAATTATTTTGAGATACTAGGGAGTGGAATGTCAGATAAGCTATTCAGCATTTAATAATGTTGAAACATTGTACAGATAGTATCATTTGTCTATATGAAATAATCTAAAAGGCAACCATCTGGATATTTAGAAATATTTTAAATTCTATGTAAATAAATTTGAGTACTTTGGTTGGAAAAAAGATATGCTAAGCAAATACTATCAACAATATATCAAATGAGACACTGAATACTAGTGATTAATATTTCACTATAGTTCATATGAAACACAGAATATTTCATGGAGAAGTAGTGCTATTGGAACTCATCTGGCTTTTTTTTTTTTTTGGGTCCAGTCATGGCGCCTGAACTCTGAGCCTGGGCACTGTCCCTCAGCTCTTCAGCTCAAGGCTAGCACTCTACCACTTGAGCCACAGCGCCACTTCTGGCTTTTTTCTTTTTGCTTATGTGGTGCTGAGGCATCGAGCCCAGGGCCTCAGGCATGCAAGGCAAGCGCTCTACCACTGAGCCACCTTCCCAGCCCTCATATGGCTTTTAGTTGTACCAATAATCCACAACTCAGCTAAAGAAACTGACCTCAGATTGTAGACGGTTGTTATATTTCAGTTGAAGGTATTTAAGGATTTGCTTTTTTTCTGGGTACCTCAATTTAATGTAACTAACCTCTTACATCGTACCCTCAAAAAATAAAGAAAACTACAGTTTAATGACCTGTTTAAAATACTGAGAGGCAGGAGAAAAATATCAAAAACATGGATAGTAATTTTGTCCCCTATGAAAGAGCTGGATAAAGTGCATTCTGCCATTTTGCTAATTAATAAGGGAATAACAACAACCACCATTTATATGCAGAGGCATTAGCTCTTGGGTGTTATTTTTGCCTATGCAGGAGGAAAGTCAGTTGACTTTATATTTTATATTTACATTTCTGTAGGTATGGTCAAGTTCACAATTACCTTTCAACAGTAATAGTCACTGATTATTTTTAGTGAAACATGTATATTCCTATTGAATTGATATTTGAATTGCATTGTGGTACATAAGTACATGCTACCTATAATATTAATGCTTGGGTTTATAGGTTTGCCTCTTATAATTCTCATTTCTCTATTTTTTTGAGTTTTGTAATGCCTTCTTGGAAAATATAAACATATGGAAAATATATGATGACTTTAGGTATATAGAGATACGTTAGGGATATATTGAAATAACTAATTGAAGATGATTGAGTTTCTCACAGAGCTTTATTTCTCTTGGAGGGTGTTGTTATATGACTGTTAGTATGATGCTTAAAATACTTGCAAATTCAGGCTGGTGGTTTTATTTTTAATGTGTGTGTGTGTGTGTGTGTGTGTGTGTGTGTGTGTGTGTGTGTGTGTGTGTGTGTGTGTGTGTGTGTGTGTGTTGGCCCTGGAATTTGAACTCAGGGCCTGGGTGCTATCCCTGGGCTTTTTTGCTCAAGGCTAGTACTCTACCACTTGAGGCACAGCTCTACTTCCAACATTTTTGATAGTTAATTGGAGCTAAGAGTCTCATAGACTTTCCTACCAGACTGGCTCTGAATTGTGGTCTTCAGGTCTCAGCCTCCTGAGTAGCTAAGATTACAGGCATGAGCCGCTGTACTCAACTTATTTTTAGGTAGTTTTTATTATTGATCATAGAAACAAATACAGAGGACCCCAAAAGAAAGATTTTTTTCCTAGAGATTTTTAATATTGATAATGTATTTAAGGCATGTATTTCTTTAAAAATGATGAAGGCCAATATGTTATGAAATCTTAGACTGGAAACATTTTACATTTAATGTTGTAACAAAGATAGTATAATTTCTAGTCCTTGGGGGAAATATTAGATCTTAGAAACTGATCAGAATGGCCCCTCAATATCACTATGGAGTGAAAGAATTTTCTTTTCCACTTAAGGTTTATAGGGAACCAAAAGAAACATACGTAAGTTAGACATGATAAAAATAAAAAACATTGTGGATCAGAGTACACTCTCAACAGGAGTACAAAGTCAGCCTATGGAATAGGAGAAGATATTTGCAAAATGTGCCTGGATAAGTGATGAATATCTAGACTATATAAAGATTTCTTACAATGCAATGACAATAACCCAATAAAGATGAGCAAAGTATTTGAATAGCTATTTCACTAGAGAAGATAGAGTAGCCAGTTGATATCCATAGGTATATGTTTCTAAGGAGAATGCCATTGAGAAAAAACTGAGTGCTCAACATACAGTTTAATATTGTGCTGGGGATACTTGGTACATTTTTTTTCTGTAATGCTGCCCAGCATTTGATAAAGACACGGTGTTTTTTCAACAAATATAAAAATTTTACTTTATCATTTAAGTTAATCATGGGCACCATTTGATTTAAGGTATATTGTTTTTAGGGAAGAGAAATGCATCAAGTCACACAATGATTTAAACATAACTCATGTTAACCTAATACCTCTCTGTCCTAACTGAGCTTTGTGATGCATGTGTAGGAAATAAAATTTTTTATTTTTAAAATTCTTTGGAGTTTATTTATTTTTGATTGTGCTTGTTCAACAAAACAGTGTGATATGTCCACAAATAAGGAAGTTTACTGCATATAAACAATCAAGAAACACATGAAAAAATGTTCAACATCACTTATCACTAGGAAAGTGCAAAGTAAACCACATAGATACCTCATTTCACAGCCACTGATGTGCTATTTTAGAAGGAAAATGGAAATAAGAAGTGTTGACAGACCAGACATTGGTGGCTCACTTCTGTAATCCTAGCTACTCAGGAGGTTGAGATCAGAGGATCATAGTTCAAAGCAATCCTAGACAGGAAAGTTTGTGAGACCCTTACCTCCAGTTAACTACTAGAAAACTGGAAGTGGAACTATGGTTCAAAGTTGTAGAGCATTAGCCTTAAGCAAAAAAAGAGCTCAGTGACAGTGCCCAAGCCCTGAGTTCAAGCCCCACAACCAACAAAATCCTACACATCCATCAGAAAAAATGATATTGTACCATTCATAAGAAAATGGAAAGTCTTAGAAAAAGATTATATTAAGCAAAGTAACATAAGTTGCATATTTTCCCTCATTTATAACAATTAGAATGTGCCTATGAACCTATAAGTAAACACAATGGATGGTAAAAGACAAAAAATTAAACATGGACATGGCAAATTCATACAGTGAGACCAAAGGAGGATATTCTTTTCTTTATTGTCAAAGTGATATACAGAGGGATTAGTACGTAATAATAAGTAATAGTAATAGTAAGTAATAAATAGCAGATAATAAGTACATTTCTTTCTTCTTTTTTTTTTGTCAGTCGTGGGGCCTGAACTCTGGGTCTGGGCACTGTCCCTTAGCTCTTCAGCTCAAAGCTAGTGCCCTACCACTTGAACCAAAGCATCACTTCTGGCTTTTTTCTGCTTATGTGGTGCTGAGGAATTGAACCCAGGGCCTCAAGCATGTGAGGCAAGCACTCTACCACTGAGCCAACTTCCCAGCCCCATAAGTACATTCCTTGTCAAACTTGTTACTCCTTCCCTCATTTTTCTCTTACTTTCCCTCCCTTATACCACCCTCCCCAAGTTGTACAGCTCATTTCCAACATACTGTCCTGTGTACATCACTGTTGTGCTGGTTCCCGCCTTGTCCTTGGTTTCAGCATTCTGTTGTCCTCCTTGCCTTCCCTAATTCTAAATATATATATATATATATATATATATATATATATATATATACAATACCAAGGTACCAAAATCAAATAAAGTAACAACAGGGGATGTACCATAGGAGGAAGAACATACAAAAGAAACAAAAAAAATGCCATAGTACATTCAAAATGACAACAGAGAAAAACCTCTAGTGTTCAAGTCTTGGAGTTCATTTCACTTAGCATCATCTTATATGGTCATATGTACATAGCTATTGAGCTATTCTGCTCATCTGCTAGTATTATCCTAGATGTATGTTAATATTTGCAAATAAGGGCAATGGAATTCTATGCTTCCATCAGAAAGAATGACATCACCCCATTCATAAGAAAATGGATTTTCTTGATCCATTCATCTACTGAGGGGCATCTGGGTTGGTTCCATATCTTAGCTATGATGAATAATGTTGCAATAAACATAGTTGTGCTGGTAGATTTAGTATGGCCTTGTTTGTGATCATTTGGGTAAATGCACAGAAGCAGGATTGCTGGGTAATAGGGGAACTCCATGTGTGGTCTTTTGAGGATCCTCCATACTTCTTTCCAGAGTGGCTGAACAAGTTTACACTCCCACCAACAATGCAGTAGGGTTCCCTTTTGGCCACATTCCCTCCAGCATCTATTGTTATTAGAGTTCTTGATTATAGCCATTCTAGCTGGGGTGAGGTGGAATCTCAAAGTTGTTTTGATTTGCATTTCTTTTATGGCCAGAGAATTTGAACATTTCTTTGTGTGTCTATTGGCCATTCTTATTTCTTCTTCAGAGAAGTTTCTCTTTAAGTCTTTAGCCCACTTATTAATGGGCAGTTGTTTCTTTGAGGATTTGTTTTTGGGGGATTTAATTTTTTGAGTTCTAAGTATATTTTAGATATGAGGCCCTTGTCTGTTGTATGGGTAGTGAAGATCTTCTCCCAATCTGTGGGCTTTCTATTGATCTTGCTAGCCATGTCCTTTGCCATGCAGAAGCTCTGCAGTTTCATGCAATCACATTTGTCCAGCCTGTCTTAGATGTGTTGTGTTTCTGGGTCTTTATTAAGAAAATTTCAGCCTGTGCCAAGGAGCCCTAGAGCTTCTCCTGTTCTTTCCTGTAATGTTTTCAGGGTGTCTGCTTTTACTTCAAGGTCTTTGATCCATTTGGAGTTGATTCTGGTGCAGGGTGATATATAAGGATCTAACTTTAGTTTTCTACAGGTGTTTAACCAGTTTTTTCCAGCACCATTTACTGAAGAGACTGTCTTTCTTCCATCCTATTTTTTTGGCTCCCTTATTGAAGATCAGGTGGCTATAGGTGTGTGGGTTCATTTCTGGGTCTTCAGATCTATTCAATTGGTCCTCAGGTCTATTGTTGTGCCAGTACCAAGCTGTTTTGATTATGGCTTTGTAACAAAGGGGGATATTCTTAGGAGAGGATCTCACTACGGCTCAATAGCTATAAGCATATAATCATATAAAATGATACTTATCGAAATGAACTACAAGAAATGGAAGAAGTTTTTTATTTCCTTTTATTCCCCCTTTGTCGCCTTTTGATTTTTGTCTTATGTGTAAGTTTATCTGTTTTGGGAAAGGTAAGGAGCACAGAAATGGTGAGGATAAAAGGTGGAGTAAAGCAGCAGTGATGCTCATTATGTTGAAAATGAACTATTCAACTTGCACGTAGAGAGGGGAAAGAGGTTACAGCATTCAAAAATAAATGTACTCATTAACTGACTAAGTAACTGTGATCTCTCTGTACATCACCTTTACAATAGAAGAAGTGTTGCCAAAGATGAGATGAATTTGATGTTTTACAGGTAAATAATATAGTCACTAGAAAGCAGTATGATCATTCTTCAAAAACCTAAACATAGACTTATAATAATGTGTCAATTACATTTTTGCGTCTATCTATAAAAGAAGTAAAAGCAGATACTTGAAGCAGTATTGTAGTGTCAGGTTCATACAGCATTATTCACAACCACCAAATAATAGTGGAAGAGATGTAATTGTTCATTAACAATGGACTTATCTGCAATGGAAAATTATTCAGCCTTAAAAAAAACACTGTAGCATGGAAAAACCTTGAAGACATTGTTCTAAGTAAAAAAAAAGTATAATGTGTTTCCTCCTATGTGATATTCATTGAGTAGTCAAATCCAGAGAGACTAAAAGTAGAATTGTGGTTGCCATGGATGAGGAAATGAATTTGGAGTTTTAAACTGGGAAGCAGAAAGAATGACACCGCCCCATTTGTAAGGAAATGGAAAGACTTGGAAAAAATCATATTAAGTGAAAAATCATATTAAGTAAGCAGGCCCAAAGAAACAGGTCTCATGGTTTCTCTTATTTGAAATTATTAGTATACATCTATGATAATCTTAGCAGATGAGCTGAATAGCTCAGTTGCTATGTACATTTAACCATAATGTTGCTAAGCGAAATGAACTCCAAAACATGGACACAAAAGGTTTTTCTTCGTTGTTTTTAATGTACTATGTGATTTCTTGTTTCTTTTGTGTGTTCTTCCCCCTATGGTTTATTCCTTGTTGTCACTGTATCTGATTTTGGTACCTTGGGTATTATATATACATTTATCTGAATTAGGGAAGGAAAAGGGAACAACAAAATGGTGAGACAAATGACGAGGGGGGAACCAATACAAGAGCAATACCCACAAGATGACGTTGGAAATGATCTGTACAACTTGAAGTGGGGGGGGGGGGTGGAAGGAGGGAAAGTGGGAGAATAATGAGGGAATGGGTAACAAGTTCAACAAGAAAGGTACTTTTTACCTTACTTATGTAACTGTAACACCTCTATACATCACCTTGACAACAAAAAAAATTATATATTTTTTAAAAAAGCTTTAAAGATGAATGGAGGTGATGTTTGCACAAATTGTATGTTACTTGATGTCGTAGAACTGAATATAATCTGGTTAAGATGGTACATGTTATGTTGGTTCTGTCATAATCAAAAGAAGATAAGTTGGAAGACAGTGGCTCAAACTTATAATCCTAGCTACTCAGAAGGCTGAGTTCTGAGGATAGCTATTTGAACCCAGTCTGGGCAAGGAAAGTCTATGAGACTCTTATTTCCAATTAACTACCAAAAAAAATCCAGAAGTGGGCTATGGTTCAAGTGGTAGAATGCTAGCCTTGAGCAAAATTGCTCAGGGACAGCACCCAGACAGACACACACACACACACACACACACACACACACACACACACACACACACACACGAAACTAAAACAGTATAATGTAAGAATTATCTTAAATATTAATATTTATCTTCTTACATTAAATTAATATTCATCAGTTGTAAAAGCTGTTTTTCTTCCTAGCAACATCAAGATGAAACAACACTAAATCAAGGTCTGCTACAGTAAGTATTTTGAATTTTGGCTCATCATATTGTGATTATTTTTGGTTATTTTTCAAGTTTAAAATGAGTATTCATTTTCTTAAGAGTTTTAGAGTTATTATATATAAACTAAATATTTCATAGATAAATAAAGACATATTGTTTACAAACATCTAGATGCATTTTATAAGAAGAGTTCAATCAGATGAAGATTTCATTCTCTTAAATTTATATAAAAGCTGATTGTATAGTGTAGCGTAGGAATTGTAGAGTTTATTAAAATTAGCCTTATGCTAACTGTTATCCCTTAAGAGACTATTTTTAGGTTCTTTTTTGAATAGTTGTTCTTGCTGGGAACAATGACTCAAGTCTGTTCTCCTAGCTACTTGGGAGGCAGAGATAGTAAAGCTCCCCTCTCAACCAATGGTTGGTGCACACTTGCCATTTCAAGTTACAGAGGAGACACAGTGGCTGGCACACTGTTCATACCTGTCCTTCCAGGGATGGAAGGAAGCATTGATTGGAGGATCACAGTGTAGGTGGAGCATAAAATCTTACCTTGAAAATACCAGTGCAAAAAGGAGCTGTCATAGTGTCTCACATGGTAGAACACTTTAGCGAAAGTGAAGCTCTGACTTTGAGCCCCCTTACCGCTAAAAAAATAAACCATTGGTTCTCTATGTTTGCTTTATGCACTTCCTGGGAATTTCTGATATTTATTGATAGAGTGTGAGGTCAAAATCTGAGATTCATTAAGAAAGTGTGAGGTAAAAATTTTTTTTTTGCCAATCCTGGGGCTAGAACTAGGGGCTTGGGTGCTGTCCCTAAGCCTCTTCGTGTTCAAAGCTAGCGCTCTACCACTTAATTCTCAGCACCACTTCCAGTTTTTTTCTGAGTAGTTTGTTGGAGGCTAAAGTCTCACTGGACTTTCCTGCCTGGGTTGGCTTTGAACCACGATTCTCAAATCTCAGCCTCCTGAGTAGCTAGCATTACAAGCATGAGCCACCAGTGCCCAGCTTCAAAATCCTTTTTATAGCAATGCTAAATAACCCTTTTTTTTTTTTTGGCTCTTTCATGGTATTTACATTTGCACTGACACTGGAAACATAAGGGTAGCAAAAATGCTAGAGCCTTAATAGGAATCATGTTAGTAGTCCACACAATATTAGTAGCTATCCTATTTTGTTGTATTTTTTTGTTTTTACTGCTGTATTCTACCCATTTAAAAAATAAGCTAAAAAAATAAGCTAGTTTTATCTAAGAGTGTTTTGATGAAGTAGAAAAGTTACAGTTTGTTTTTTTTAAATAAATATCTACTTTTGAGTATTTATCTGTTTAATAGTCTGTGGTACAGTGAAAAGTATGTTTAAAGCACTTATATGGATTTATATACTGAAGTATGAAGTAGTCTGGAGGAAAGCAAGAGGGTACCTTTTGGAGTGGTAAGCATTGTTAAGTAAAATAGTTTCACTTTTTTAAACGAAAGAATAAGTTGGAAGAATAAGTTTGTTATATGGCAGAATTTTTCTTGAAAATGAGTAAAGCAAGCTTGTCAGTTTACAGAAAATAACTGATAGTAATGTTGCCAATGAAAAAATTCAAGTTTTCACATTAGAATTTTGGAAAACTGATTTCATCCCTCTACCATGTTCTCTGCCTCCTTCCCTCTAGGAAATAGGATCCACAATAATTTTTAAGAGTATCAAGGAATTCAAAGATTAAAAAATTGAGAACTCTTATTGTAAAATAATACTTGCAAGCTTTCTGGAAGATGGAATAGCAACAGAGAATTCTTCTAGCTCTTTCTGACCAAACAGAGATTAGGGTCCTAACACACACACACACACACACACACACACACACACACACACACACACACTTCACCTCAAGAGAACAACAACAAAGAAACTACAAACAGAATCACAAGAATGAAGACGTGACACACACAGGGACAGAACATTGCAAAGTATCCCCCCCCCCATTCCCTCATCCCACACCTGCAGAGTGACTAAGCTGTGATAGTGGCCTCAGCGGCCATACTATGACCCTGACCAGTGCAGACAGCAGCACACCTGAAGATCCAGAGTTACTGATCAGGAAAATGAGACCACCACATCCAGACGTAGAAAACTTTCACCATAGCACTCCTGGTCAGCTCAAAACCAAAACCAGGATCCAGGAGTACTCCACAATACTTCAGCTGGACCCTTTCCCTCCTGCCTGAGAAGGGACACCTACTCAAAGAGGGAAAAGAGGCTGGAGCCCTTTCTCCCACCACTTTTGCTTCTTGCCCAAGACTCCTGGGAATTAACCCTGAATCTGGTCCAGAAAACTGTAACTACCAGCAGCCTCTGGAGCCAGTATTTGTTTGGGATTGGACCCTGCATTCCCTGCATCTGTGGCTAATGGTGGGAAAAAAAAACAAAAACACCTGATCTGCTGAAAATCAAAAGGAACAATCTCCCTGATCTTTCCAAGGCTCATAGCTGATCCAGAGACTGGAGCACAATTCTCCTTGGGAACATACATCCTTTTGGGAAGTAGACACCAGTCCAGGATTAAAGTGGGGACCATTTCCCTACACCAGCACAGCCCTGCTGGAACCCACCCCCTTCCAGGCTTACACTTGGGTCCAGAGACTGGACAGCAGCTCACCACTGCATAGGAAGTAGACATCAGTTCAGGACTTGAGTGGGGACAACCTCCCCATACCTCACAGAGGGAATTTTCCCCTTCCAGGGCTTACATGAGGTCTGGAATGCTGCTTCCTGTCCCTTAGGAAGTAGGTGCCAGTCCAGGACTTGGCCAGGAGGACCTCTCCACTAGCAGGAATCTTCCTACAAAGAAAAAGATCTGGGCCAGGACACTAGACTGTGGGGCACCACATAACATTAACCAGCCACTGGACTTAAACCCAGGTTGGAATACCATACAGTCTCACCCACCCCAGAGCCAGGACCCATTATACTGTTTGTACCACCCTGAGCAGAAAGCTGCCAAATGCAAACTCCAACGGAGATTTATCCATTGAATCACACCCTACCACTACTGAATTTAATATGTAATCTGAATGACTCTGACATCCCTGAACCCAAATGCATGAATCACAAGAAAGATTACAAAATTCATGAACAATCAAGACCAGATATCAGATTCAAAAGCCAACAACAGTCCAGGGAAGGACCTAAGTGAGAGTGAAGAAATGAAGGACAAAGGACTATTAAAGCAATGATGAGAGAATTAGCCAATGAAGTAAAAAGGGATATCCCAAAACAAATAGAAGAATACAAGGAAGAAATGGCCAAGAACATGCAGGTTGCCCAAAAAGATATGGAAAGAAAGACAGAAAGGAAGATATGCTATACACCTCATTAAAAGATGAAATTAACACCCTGAGAACTGACATCAACAAAGAGCTTGGAAGCATGAAAGGCTCAATTTCCCTATTGCAAACTATAGTTGAAAGAATAGACAATAGAATAAGTGAAATGGAAAATAGAGTATCAGGAGTTGAGGATAAACCAGAGGAATTAGAACAAAAATCAAAGGCGTAGAAAAAACAAAACATTCAAAGAGAAATCCAAGACTTGGCAGATTTGGGCTGGGAAGGTGGCTCAGTGCTAAAGTGCTTGCCTTGCATGCATGAGGCCCTGGGTTCGATTCCTCAGTGCCACATGAGCAGAAAAAGTTGAAAGTGGCACTGTGGCTCAAGTGGTAGAGTGCTAACCTTGAGTTGAAGAGCTGAGGGACAGCACCCAGGCCCAGAGTTCAGGCCCCACAACTGACAAAAAAAAAATAAAAAATCCTCTCTCCAAGATTTGAGAGATTCAGCCAAAAGATCAAATCTATGCTAGTCAGGGTGGATGGGGGAGAAGAATTCAAAACTTAAAGGCACCGAAAATCTATTGAACAAAATAAGACAATATTGGGTGCGTTCAGGGAAAATGGTGAGACAAAGTAAAAAGGGTGAACCAAAGCAACAGTGATACTCACAAGACACTATGTTGGAAATGAACTTTACAACTGGGAAGGAGAGGGGAATCAGGGAGGGAAAGTGGGAGAAAATGAGGGAGAGAGTAATGAACTAGTAGTAGACAGGATCCATGCAGAAATACTTCAAGACACATTATAGTGAAAACTCTGGACTTAAAAAACAAAGAATTACTTTTAAATGCAGCAAACTCAGAGAAATAACTACATTGTAACAAAAAGGTCAGAATCACTGCCGAATCACTCCAAGATATGGAAACGAGGGATCTCTTTTATTTACTTTTTACTACTTTTTTTTATGATTCTGTCTTTATGTATAGCATCTTCACATGTATGTATTTGGGAGGGGCGCTAAGCACTTGAGGGAAAAAAGATAAAAAACTGCAGCAATGGACTTGCTAGGCACTAATGAAAGTGAGCTATAAAACTCGTGGAGATCTTGCTAGCTATGTCCTTTGCCATGCAGAAGCTCTGCAACTTCATGCAATCCCATTTGTCCAACCTTTCTTTGATTTGTTGTGTTTCTGGGTCTCTTTTAAGAAAATTTTTGCCTGTGCCAAGGAGACCTAGGGTTTCTTCTATTCCATCCTGTAATGTTTTCAGAGTGTCTGCTTTGACTTCGAGGTCTTTGATCCATTTGGAGCTGATTCTGGTGCAGGGTAATATATAAAGATCTAGCTTCAGTTTTCTACAAGTGATTAACCAATTTTGCCAGCACCGTTTACTGAAGAGGCTGTCTTTCTTCCATTCTATTTTTTTAGCTTCCCTATCAAAGATTAGATGGGTGTATGTCTGTAGGTTCATTTCTGGGTTTTCAATTTTATTCCATTGGTCCTGAGGTCTGTTCTTGTGCTAGTACCAAGCTGTTTTGATTACTATGGCTTTGTAGTAGAGTTTGAAATTTGGTATTGATATTCCTCCAGCACTGTTTTTTCTGTTAAGGATTGTTTTTGCTATTTGTGTCTTTTATTGTTCCATATGAAAGCCCACAGATTGGGAGAAGATCTTCACTAGCCATACAACGGACAAGGGTCTCGTATCTAAAATATACCTGGAACTCAAAAAATTAAATCCCCCAACAACAAATCCTCAAAGAAACAACTTCCCAATAAATAAGAGGGTTAAAGACTTAAAGAGAAACTTCTCTGAAGGGGAAAGAAGGATGGCCAATAGATACATGACGAAATGCTCAACTTCTCTAGCCATAAAAGAAATGCAAATCAAAACAACATTGAGATATCACCTCACCCCAGTTAGAATGGCTATAATCAAGAACTCTAATAACAACAGATGCTGGAGGGGATGTGGACAGAAGGGAACCCCACTGCATTGTTGGTGGGAGTGGAAACTTGTTCAGCCACTCTGGAAATCAGTATGGAGGTTCCTCAAAAGACTCCACATAGAGCTCCCCTATGATCCATCAATCCCATTTTGGGGCATTTGCCCGAATGATCACAAACAAGACCATACTAAAGCTACCAGCACAACTATATTTATTGCACCATTATTTACCATAGCTAAGATATAGAACCAACCCAGATGCACCTCAGTAGATGAATGGATCAAGAAAATGTGGTATATATACACAATGGAATTCTATGCCTCCATCAGAAAGAATGACATTGCCCCGTTTGTTAGGAAATGGAAAGACTTGGAAGAAATTATATTAAGTGAAGTAAGCCAGGCCCAAAGAAACATAGGTCCCACGGTTTCCCTTATTTGCAATAATTAATATATGTCTGAGATAAGCAGACAAGGTCAGATAAGTTGATGGTAGGTGAAATGAACCCCAAGATAAGTATTCAAATGTGTTTTCTTTCATGCGATTATTTCTAACATATGTATAAGATTATTTCTTTGTTGCTTTGTATGTCCCTCCCCCATGGTATAACCCCTGTGTTCATTGTATTTGGTGTTAGTATAATTTGTGGAGGGGAAGGGCAAAAACAAATCGTTTAAATAGGGATACAGGTGGACCCGTTGCAGCAATGAGATGTATAAGTTGTTATGTCAAAAAACGAACTTTACAACTTTGGCAGGGGGGGAAGGGGGTGGAGGGGACGGGGGTTGGTAAGGGCAAACAAAGGAGGAGGCAATAATGCTTGATAAGAAATGTACTCATTACTTTGCCCATGTAATTGTAACCCCTCGGTACAGTATTTTCACAATAAAACAAAAAACAAAAAAACTCATGGAGACAAGAAGGAGGGCCTGGGAGGCAGGGAGGGAATGGAAGACAATGTATGAAAGGAAATATAGTCATTACTTGACACATAACTGTAAGCCCTCTGTACATTACCTTTGTAATAACAATGAAGTAAATAACAAGTAAAAAAAAACTACTAATTTTTTTTTTGTCAGTCATGGGACTTGAACTCTGGGCCTGAGCACTGTCCCTCAGCTCTTCAGGTCAAGGTTAGCATTCTACCACTTGAGCTACAGTGCCACTTCCAGTTTTCTGGTGGTTTATTGGAGATAAGAGTTTCACGGCTTTTCCTGCCCGGGCTGACTTTGAACCATGATCCTCAGATCTCAGCTTCCTGAGTAGCTAGGATTACAGGGTGAGCCACTGGTGCCCAGCCCCAAATTTTTATACTTAGTGTTATAAATTCATTTACAGAAATGGGAAAAAAAAAGACTAAGGAAGATGAACATGTCATAATTCTACTGCCCAAAGAACTATAGTTAACATTTTTGAACATCTTATTTTGTATATGTATATGTGTATGTATATATGTGCTTTTAAATTTGGTTTTCTTCATATTTTCTGTAGAATTGGAATCATATTGCAGATAGTTTTGTACACTGTTTTTAAAAATTCAAGTAACAATATCTTGTAATTATTTTCTCCTATTTTTAATGCATTTAAGCATATGAATTTTAATGACCTCATAGTGTTTAATTGTATGACCCACTGTAGTATAATTTGTTTAATCATTCATCTATGATTAGACAATGGACATTTATACTATTTGCAGCCTTGCCTAATATAAATAAAATTTTCTTTCTGGTCCTGGGGCTTGAACTCTGGGTCTGGGCACTGTACCTCAGCTTCTTTTGCTCAAAGCTAGCTCTCTACTGCTTGAGCCACACACCACTTTTGGCTTCTTCTGAGTAGTTTATTGGAGGTAAGAGTCTCATGGAAGCTGGGCACTGGTGGCTCATGCCTGTAATTCTAGCTACTCAGGAGGCTGAGATCTGAGGATTGTAATTCAAAGCCAGCTGCTTTTAGATGTGAATGTAATTTAGCTTGTTTATATTCTTAAATTCACTTATTTTTTCAACTCACTTCATTTTGCCATCATTTGAAATATAAATGTTAATAAACTGGTAATAACTCCAAAAATAATTGGAATGATGTAGCAAAAATGAACTATATTTGGAAAGCTTTTTCGGTGACAAATGGAATGTAAATTATGTTTGAATGAAGAACAATCTTTCCATTTTAAAGCTTATTTTTTTAATTAATAATTGACTTTTTTAGGATTAGAAAACATTTTCCAGTGTCCAATCTGTCATTTTTCCAGTCTGGGCTTTCATTGTACCACCAGAACATTGGAGGTAAGTTTTCATGAGTAGAAATATATGGAAAATTTGTCTTTGTCTAACAATATAAGACTTGTATATGGATTTATTTACAATTAGGTTGGTTGGTCTGTTAAACATTTTAAAATAGGAAATCAGTGTTGCTGTTGACCTTGAATCATTCTGCAGAGTTGCCCATGGGAGAATATGTTGCAGTAAGTATGTGCTGTTTCAAATGTCTAACCTTTTACTCATGATTTTTAGAGCTAAAATATGTACAAGTTTGTTTTCTCTGTTCATGCCGTCACTAATATATATGTCTTGCCTTTCTTGTCTGGCAGTAACATGGACCAGTTCTAGCTAAATTTTGAGGTGTCTTTACTTGCTCTTGCTCCTCAAAAGTGAATATTACATGTTCTGTCTCCATGTAGTAAGATAGTATAGTAGTCAATGAAACCTTGTATTGTAAGGAACAGTCACAAGTATAGATGAAAAATTGTCAAGTTAAACTCCTAAAGCTCTGTTTACAAAAGATAGAATATTTTTATCTATCACTATCTAAGTTCAGAAAGAAGAAAAGAGATAACTATAAGTAAATTAACTTATCTTGGAAAAGGTGAGTTGTACCAAGAAAAAGAAGGACCAACAATGAAATGAAATCATGTAAGAAGTAACATCTAACTATGTTTCAATATAACAAAGAAGTGATATCCAACCAAGAAGACTTATCTAGAGTCTAGATCCCTCACCTCTTAGGAAATAAAAATGCTAACGGAACGTATGAGTTTGCAATAATACAGGTTACTATATAATAAAAAAGACTAAAGCTTGTCAAATAAAGCTTAAAGATGGCATTCTGGAGTAAAACAATAAGTTACAAAAATTAACCTTTGCAATGTTTAAGATATTCTAAGTAAAATTAGCTGATTGGCTCCACCTTCTGTTTGATCTGATATTTGTTGACCTGGGACATCCTGAATGAATAGAATGGGTTGTTTTCTTCTATCTTCATGGCAGATTCAGTCATCAGGGAAAACTTGATATAGTAGTAAAGCATTTTTCTCCTGGGGGTGCTCTTTGAAGGATTTTGAGCTCTCTGAAGCCACATATGTCTTGTGCTACTAAAAGTTAGGTGATTTGAAGATATCCTTCCTTCCTTCCTTCTTTCCTCCTCCTCCTCCTCTTTCTTCTTTCTCTTCCTCCTCCTTTCTTCTTCCTTCTTCCTTTCTCCTCCTTCTCTTCCTCTTCTCTCTCCTCCTTCTCCTTTTTATCATCATCTTCTTCATCTTCTTTGTCTTCTTTTGTGCCAGTCCTGGTGCTTAAACTTATGCCTGGATACTGGACCTGAGTTTTTGTGTTCAAGCTAGCACTCTAGTATTTGAGAGCTCTACTTCCAGATTTTTGGTGGTAATTGGAGATAAGAGTCTCACAGACTTTCCTGCCTTTGCTTCCTTTGAATCACAGTCCTCAGATCTCAGCCTCCTGGGTAGCTAGCATTACAGGCATGTGCCATATAAAATATATTTAAGTAATTGGAACATTGTATAATTTTATTTGTTACATAATACTTCTTTATCAATAAATGGATATACTTAACAAATATGTGATATGTCATTTGAATTGTCTAAGAGAATTCAAGTTATGTTATTGTAAAATGCTAATTAGGAATTTTTAGTATTTTAATAAAAGTAGAATAAAGGCATATTGTTCTCTTTTAGGACCTGAAGCTGAAAATACTGAAATTTTGCTATGCCCAGAAAAGGTTGGTAGCTATATAGCAATATAGGTCTTAGACTTCAAGTTTTTAAAAAATGTGCTTTAAGTTCAAGTCCCAAGCACATATAGACCCACTCCTAGGAGGTGATGTGACCAAAACATTTTAGTTAGAAATTTATTCTTGTCTGAAATCTTGCTCCTACATATATTTTTTATATTTAGAGTAGTACTTTCTGTATCTCTATTTCTTACTTCTTCTTTATCTAGAAAAATGTGTTACTTACTACACTTTTTGTACAGATGATGTGGTAAAATACCTTCTATTTGGTTTGTCTATTACCCTGTTTTTAAAAAATATATTTCAGGGGAGATAAGGCTTTTTCATTTTCTAGTTGCTAATCTGTATCAAGTAGTTACTTTTTCTTTGCTTTCTACTTGGTACTCACACTGTCCTTAGGGACAGTAAGCAGTCAGGGATCTTTCTAGGCCAGCCTACCATATTTGATCTTGTCTTATTTGTACCTTTCCTGCTGCTACATTGGTATTTGTTTCATAGAGTTTGTTTCATAGAGTTCTTGAGAGGACCAAGAGAAATAATGCTTCATGATGTCTGTCAACTCTGGTGCTGGATAAATATATATTCTTTCACTTCTTCCCCAATTTTTAATTTCTTGTCTCTGGATCTGTTTCAGATGACTTTGATGATAGTGCTTTCTCAGTACCATTCAGTTTTTACTGACTCTCAATATTTTCTAGTCATTAACACTCTCTGACATTAATAGATCATCTGAGAAAAACATTTATTAGAAGAAAAAGTTTGGAGAACACTACCCTAATGTTTCCTTGGAGATTTACAACACATATAATCTGAAAAGTCCTATGGTAAAGCAAATTGTTTGATTTTGCTTCACCAAGCATTTTTATAACATCATGGACACTTTCCATTGCTTTCCTTCTCTTTGAAAACTTATTTTTACAAGAGAATAGGCTCTGTTAACTGTTTGTTATCGCTACCCAGTGCCTTGAATTTAGTAGACATAAGGATTTAAAATAGAAAGAAGATCTGCAGATGTGACTTAAACAATGGATAGAATATGTATGAACTATTTCTCAAATTCCTTCTAAATTTGTCTTTCTAAGTAAATTATAATTGGCATTACAAAATTCATATATCTTGTTAACTCTATATGCTATACAAAGGTGATAAATTGTGATAGGAAAAAAGAAGAATAAATGTGTTAACTTTCTTTACTCACACCAGAACAGAATATTAGAGGGCTGAAAAAATGGTAATACATTCTGCCTGAAACGTGATGGCTTTGGTTTTCTGGAAGCGGCCAAAGGCATTGAAACCCATTCTACTATGTAATGTCATGAAAATGAACAGTTTTTTAAAAAAATTATTTGAACAGATTTCACTACCTTTAAAGCACATTATTTTCTCAAATGGCCTGTCACCTGATTTCAAAAGGGATATTCTAAACATATTGAGCATTGGAAACATTGCAAAAGTAGATATAACCTATTAAGGTCATGTCTTTGAAAAATAAGTCACTTGGAAATGTAAATTTTATGTTTACATGAACATATTACTCAGAACCATTGATTTATAATTTAGGAATTGTAAACTTTACACAGAATTGCAATCTTACTTTTCCCATTTTTGCATCCAGCCTCCTATCCTTTGGTCATTTAATTCACTTTTACGTATTCACAGAATGATAGAAAATAAGGTAAAATGACATCAATTTTATTTCTAGCTAATTTTACAAAACTAGGAATATTTTATAAGAAAGAATATTGTGAGATGTACAAGTCGTTATGTGGAAAACGAACGTTACAACTTTGGTAGGGGGGGGAAGGAGGGTTGCGTGGGGGGGGGAGGATGGGATGGGAAGGGGAAACAAAGGAGGAGGCTGCAATGCTTGATAAGAAATGTACTCTCATTATCTTGCCCATGTAATTGTAACCCCTCTGTACAGTATTTTCACAATAAAAAAAATCAGGCAAAAAAAGAGTAGCACAAAAAAAAGAATATTGTAATCATTAACTGCTGTGAAGTTTTGAGATCACCTGTTAATTTAACTATCTATAGCATCTTTGTCTCTTGTGACAGAATAGGTAACAAACTTAGTTGAATTAAACAATGACTATCTGTGCATATGATCCAACCAATCTTATAACTGGTTCACTATTAAATGTTCAAGCATATATTCTATCATTAGTAACGTGGTATAGGAAAGAAATAGAAAATATTTTTTATTTATAGATGAGGAGGACAATTGATAAAAAACCTTTTTGAGGACAATTCGCAAACAAAATGAATTACAAAACTATAAATTTCTTTAAACATTTCTTTGCATTTGCTACAGTAAAATTTCTATTTGAAATACACAGGAACTAAATGAAGACAGAGTATGTCCTGAAATTAGTCTTTTTTCAAGTACTGCTATTACAGATACTGATACGGCTTCTGTAAAGGAGAAATCACTAATAGAGACAGAGAAGATATTATTAGCACCAAACATATCTTCAGAACCTGAGCAGGAAGAAGTAACATTGACCGTGACTTCTAAAGAATCTGTGGATGAAGAAAGCTCAGTTGAAACTTTTGTGTCTGCCTTAGAAAAGCTGTTAACATCAGAAAGCATTAAAGAAGAAAGAATGTTGGAAATAATGAAAGATTTTGATTTTGGAGAATTGATGAATTCATTGAGTGATTCCCCAAGTTCCATATCAGTACCCACGAATGCCATATCAGCATGTTGCAGAGATTTACTTGAAAACACAAAGGATGATGCATTGCCAACTGAGTTGTTGGCAGCCATCAACACATTGTCAGAAGCCAAAGTGGGGTCCAGCTGTCACGGAAAAGAGCAAGGTGGCAGATTTGGTGGAAATGAATGTTTTGAAATGGAGCCTGATTTGTCTCAGATGGATGAAGACTGCACACAAATAACTGAAGTAAATTTTGACTCCTTTTGTTCTCCATTTGAACAAGGTTCCAATTTAGCGAGGCTCCAGGACAACAGTCTATCAGTGGAACAAGTAGGTACAAGTAATTCATCTGATTTTTCCTTTCATAACAGGTCTTTCCTTTTTAACAGGTCTTCATTTTGTTAAGTTCAAATCTTTTATTCCAGAATCATCTATAAGATACTTTTTTAACATAGTGATCTTTTTAGAAGTCCTTGAGTTAGAGTTTTCAATGAGTTAAGAAGTTTAAATAGATTTTCCCCAACAGATCTGAGGAGCTATTATTGGCTTGCTTATAATAGGAAGGAAATAATTTTTTACCAGAATGTTCTGTTACCTGAGAGTAGATGTACATAAGAGATGTCTTACTAATTTGTAGCTGGACATAGGATATATGTGATTTAGATTACTGAGGGAAAAATTATGTTTAAGCAGAACTTTACCTTCTGTGTCTGAGAAAAGTGCCAGGCATAACTCTTGGAGTTTAAAATTTCTGTAGTATTAAGCCTGGAGCTACTGCAGTGGCAGATCAGGAGTCAGGTTCCCTTTTCATGTTGACAACTTACAGACTCCTTATAAAATGCAAAACTGAGTATGGAGGCATATGTTCCATCTCTTGGGAGGTTAAATTATTGCTTAGTGCCAGGAAATATACTACTATTTAAATATTTTAACTTCTGATTGATAGTATTGTCTAAATACAGTTTAATTTATTTAACCAATTTACTAATGATAGTTATTTGGATTATTTTCTTTCTTTTCTTTTGGCTGTTATGAAAATGTTTCTAAGTATATCCTTGGGAAGATTTAGAGATAACATTTATATGGAGTAATGTTGCATGTATTTCTAGTCAATAAGTCTCATACAGATGTAATAGGACTAAAATAAAATCCAGAAAAAGACATTAATAATGGAGATAAGGATGAAGTATAAACACTAGTGTTCTAATAAGTCTGAGAAGAAATATGAGCAAACTGTAGTAAATTATTATTGATATTAGTAAAGTGAGCATAAACTTAGCCAGTTTCCAAATAAAAGAAGAAAATGCATTTAAATTTAGAAAGGTGTTTTATCTAGATCAAGTCTGTGCTGTGATAACTTTTACCCTGAGAATCTTCATAAGCTGAGTATATAAGTAAGCCCAGGAATATTTACATGAGGTATGTAAAAAAATAAGGGCCATCATAGAAGTTAAATTCATACTAGATTATTAAGAGGAAGTTAGAATAATTCATGACATACTGGTGAGTGTGAGCCACCAGTGTGTGGCATACTGGTGACCTTTCAAAGTCAATGTTAGGGAAATTATATACCATATTGTCTCATAAAATGTCACTTATTGCTGCTGTCAAGAAACAAAATACTAGGCTGAGTAGGTCCTTGATCTGGTCTAGTATAATACTTTGTGTTTTTATGAATCTCTCATTGTATATTATACTTACTTCCTACAAAATTTAAACAATGGAATTGCTTTTCTTTTCTTTGAATCTGTTTTTTTTTTTCCTTCACATTACTGAGGTTTAAACTCAAGAGCCTTGTGCTTGCTAGGCAGGCAATCTATTGCCAAGCCACGGCTTTTCAGACCTTTTTTTTTCATTTACACTAGATCTCAAAATAGCCTAGGTCTGTGCTTGTATTGCAATCACCTATTTTATGCTTCTTATCCTAACTAGAATGCCCAATGTACACCACAATGTCAAACATCTTCTTTAGAGATGGAGTCTCACAAACTTTTTGTTGCCTGGGCAGTCCTGAAACTTTGATCCTACTGAGCTTATCCTCTCATGTGTCTAGGAAGACAAGGGCACACCATTGCACCCAGCTATTGGTTAAGATAGTATCTTGCGTGTAAGCCTAGGCTGACCTTGAAGTCTAATCCTTCGTATCTCAGCCTCTTAAGTAACTAGAATTGTAGATATAAGTCACTGGCTCTTGGCTCAAAATTGCTTTTACTTATCTACTTCTTAAGCTTTTACAGCTATACTGGCCTTTACTATATTAAGTGTTATACAATTGTTATTACTTTCACATGTGCTTATAAGTTATTGGCCTTTCATCTTGATGTTAAATGTTGTATCAAAGGACAAGATAAAACTTAATTTCAGTTTTTTTCAGTATTGTAATTATTTGTGATGGATTTATATCTTTACAGACAGAAGAAGATCCAAATCTGTTTAGATTGCAAACTTTGCCTCATTCAGATATCACTTCTTGTGAGCCACTGAATAATATGGAGAAGTCAAATCTGGTGGAAAATATATCTGAGCAGGAAACTCCATGTGTATTAAGGAGATCATCTAGACTGGAAAAACTGAAAGTAAGCAGAGAGGCAAACCATGAAGATACTATGTGTAAATCATCAGAAAAGATTTCACCAAAAATACTTAGCTCTGAGGAACAAATAAATAATAAATCTTCAACTGAGAATTTCAGGTATGCTATCAAATTATATCTTTTCCTCCAGACCTAATGGATAACTACCGTCAGTAAAAAGCTTTATTATTTTATTTTGCTGCTTTCTTTTCAGTTTTGTTCAGTGCCAAACTACATAGCAAGACCCTTTTTTCTTGCAAAGATTCTGACTCCTTTTCCATTTGAAGTAAAGTGGGTAAATAATGGGGGGGAGTTCAGGAGATTCAGAATATTCGCATTTGTAGATGACTACATCCAGAGAAAGAAGCATGAAAATTTTAAAAGCCATAAAGCATGGACATGTTTGTTGCAGAATTCAGTTTACTCAGGATCCATCTCCATATTTAAAATTATCTTGTCATTTAAGAACAGCTCCATAAAATACCTCTGAGTTTTAAAACTTTAAAAATTGGTATGATTTTCTATGTACAACTATAGAAAATATTATAATAAATTTTAATTATGACTTTTTTAAAAAACAAGAGTGAAGCATCTTGCTTTAAGGATGGACAGTAAAGAGATGAATAAGCATTCATCCAGATTGAAGGCTGAACATACCAGGAAAAATGAACGACTTGAAATTAAAAAAGGTGCGGTATATTTTCTGTTTTTCCATTTCTCTAAATTTTCTAGAAACAGAATTCTGGTAGAAAAAATTCAGAGATTGGGGTTGTGTTGGAAGAGATGGGAAAGAGTGATACAAGTGGTAATAATGATTAAGATGCATTATACTTACAAACTGATACGTTGAATGGTAATGTACTTAAAACTACTTAAAGATAATAAAAACATGATTAAAATTTATACATTATTTCAGATTTCTCATTTTACTATTGAGAAAACAATTTCAGAGGTGATAATTTCAGATTTATCACATAGCTTATTGATAGCATAGATCAGATTTGCACCACTATTAACTGGCCTGAATGTATTATTTTTGGCAATACTGGGGTCTATGTCCAGGGCTCTGTGCTTGCCATGAAGACACTATACCAGTTGACCAGTCCTTTTTGCTTTCATAATTTTTAATAGGTCTTGCATTTATGCTTAGGCTTGTCTGAACCACTTATTTGCATTTCCTGTGTAGCTGGGATGGTAGGCACATCTGTCACATAGAGCTTTTTATTGGTTGGTGGGATCCTAGAAGCCCCTACTCTCAGTTCCCCTCTGGACTGAAATTGGAACTTTATCCTTCCCATTCAGGTTCCTGAATACCTAGGAATATAGGCCAGAGTCATCATGTTCAGCAAGGGTTTCTTTTAAGTACCCTATTTGTTTTTGAAAGGTCTTTCTGTTTAGGCTAGTAGGAAGGTGAATGCCTCCCAGCCCTGTGTGGGTTTTGAGAATTGCTACATTTCCTCAGATGTTCTTGTTTAGCTTCATAGAAACTCATCCTTTCACTTGAATAGTATATTATTCAGATAATAAGTCAAGGATCCTATTATGTAGATTTTTGATGTCTTTATTCTCTCACCTCTGGCACTTTTCTAACAAATTTTAGCCACCAGAGCCTCCCACACTAGTCTGTCTCCTCATTTCAGCAGGATCTTCTGCCCTACCCCTGAATTTGTACTATGCTCTCGAAAATATATACAGGCTAAGATAGCAGGCTGTATCTGATATCTTGCTAGTATGGTTGTCCATACTAGCTTTCCAGTGTTTAAAAATAGTTCCCCTTTATACATTTTGTCTACTTTTCTCTTGTTAAACTCTTGAAGGATGTCTCAATGTTACTTGTATCTGAAAGTGAATGTCTTACACTACTTGGTTTTCATTGCAGAATGTTTTATTGCTTCATAATTGGTTATTTTCTAGGCATTCACACACTGTTAGAACAAAGAAGGGTACTCTTAGGAGAACAGAAAGGCCCAATACTTATGTATATTTGATCATACAAAAGAAAAAAATTGAACTCCAATTTGTTATTTTTATGCAGAAAAAGGTTTTTAATTTGTGAAACCAGTTTGCAAAACCAAAATTTAAGAAGTTGAGTGACAAGAAATTTGAGCCTAATCTTTTTTTATTGTAAAGATACTGTACAGAGGGGTTACAGTTATATGAGTAAGGTAATGAGTACATTTCCTATTGAGCATTGTTACCAACCCTCCTTTGTTTTCCCCCTAGCATCCCTTCCCTCCCTACCACCCTAAATCCTCCCTCTCCCTCCTACCCCAAGTTGTAAAGTTCATCTTCAACATAGTGTCTTATACATCTCATTATTACAATGGATAACCCTGTATCCTTGTTTCAGCATTTTGTTATTTCCCTTCCTCTTCCCAAATTAGAAAAATGTATAGACAGGATGCAAGGCACCAGAATCAAATACAATGAAAACAGGGGTTATACCACGGGGGAAGAACATATAAAAGAAACAAAAAAAAGAACATACAAAAGAAACAAAAAAAAATCACATAGTACATTTAAAACCTCTTGTTTTTTTCTTTATCTTGGGGTTCATTTCGCTTAGCATCATCTTATATGGTCATATGTACATAGCTTTTGACCTTTTCTGCTTGTCTGGTAAGATTATCCTAAATGTATACTGGTTATTGCAAATAAGGGAAACCATGGGACCTATGTTTCTATCAGCCTGGCTTACTTTACTTAATATAATTTTTTCCAAGTCTTTCCATTTCCTAACAAATGGGGCAGTGTCATTCTTTCTGATGGAGGCATAGAATTCCATTATATATATTATATATGCATATATATTACATATACACCACATTTTCTTGATCCATTTGTCTACTGAAGGGCATCTGGATTGGTTCCATATCTTAGCTATGGTGAATAATGCTGCAATAAACATAGTTGTGCTGGTAGCTTTAGTATGGCCTTGTTTGTGGATCATTTGGATAAATGCCCAAATGTGAGATTGCTGGGTCATAGGCAATTTGTTATTTTTAATAAATTAGATAATTATAATAACAAGTACAGCTGGTACAGATACTGTTAGAGTAAATGCCTTTACTAAATGGGCCTAGTGTTACCTACAGAAAGAGCATGGTAAGCTCTGAGAGAGGAGGCTATTGGGCTAACAGACCTGTTTCGAGTAGGCAGGACTGCTTCTGGGTAAACACACATTATATGGTGGATTTTGTTCTGGAGCATAATAAGGAAAGTCGGAAAATAACTATGATCAGGTTTAAATATCTTTCTCTATTTAAAAAAAAAATCAAGTGTTATTTTTCCTTAACTCAGTGAAAGCTGAATATTTAAAAAGAAGAAAGGTAGATTCAAATGCTCCGGAGGTATGTTAGTTTTATAACAGGCGAACTGGGAGTGTAGAGCAGCTAAATTTTGGTTTATTAAGAAAGATGTTGCAATACTGTTACTCTTCATGAGGATTTAAGATGGAGTAGGTTTGAAAGGCCAAAAATTGAAAATGCTGTCATCAAAATTATCCTAAAATTTAGGAAATCAGTATAAATATTATCCTCCAGATTTGACAGGATTTGGAACATCTACATGAGGGGTTTCAGTATTTTAGGAAGCACAATAAAGATTGATACTTGGTATAAACTAGAACATCATTTTCTGTATTTCCTGGTTTTGAATATTAAAACTACAGCAATCAAAACCATTGAAAAGATCAAGGCCATCATTATTTGTTTAATTTCATGGCTTTTTTTTTTTTAGTGAAGAAAGTTTAACATTTCCTTGCCTGATCTCACTGGGATTACTTTCTGTAAGATGTTTTCCTCATGAATTTATAATACATTTTGTATTACAACATTTTCTAAAGTTTGGTAATGTGTTGTGATAATCCATTTATAAAAAGGAAACAGTTATTTTGGCTCACATATTTGGAGGATCCAGTCCATGATTGGTTGGCCCATTACATGGCAGGAGTATTTGGTGTCACACAGCTACTTACATAATGGGAAGGAAGCAAAAGAAAGGAAGAGGAAGGGGCTGAGATCCTCTCCCCCTTAAGAACATGTCTCCCATGACTTAAACAGTTCCTATATGCCCACTTTTTGTTGGTTTTTTTTTTTTTTTGGTCGGTTGTGGGGCTTGAACTCTGGGCCTGGGCGCTGTCCCTCAGCTCTTCAGCTCAAGGCGAGCACTCTACCACTTGAGCTACAGCGCCACTTCCAGTTTTGTGGTGGTTTATTGGAGATAGGAGTCTCACAGTCTCTCCTGCCCGGGCTGGCTTTGAACCAAGATCCTCAGATCTCAGCCTCCTGAGTAGCTAGGATTACAGGCGTGAGCCACCAGCGCCCGGCTATATGCCCACTTTTTAAAAGCTCCACAGCCTTCCAGTATTACCTAGAGGACCAGAGCCTTAGTACTATGGCCTTTGGAGACATTCAAGATTCAAACTATGTCAGATAGTATGTAATCCTAAATACATATATTAAAAAAATTCTAGATCTAAATAGTCTTTTCACCAGACCTTTTGTGTGTGTGGCTGTGGGGTGTGTGTGTGTGCACATGCGTGCACTTGTGTACACATATGTGCATGCTAGTCCTGGGGCTTGAACTCAGGGCCTGGTGGGCATTGTCCTTGAGTTCTTTTTTGCTTAAGGCTAGTGCTGTACCAGTTGAGCCACAACTCCATCTCTGGCCTTTTGATGGTTGAGTCTCACAGACTTTCTTGCCCTGGCTGGCTTTGAACTGATCCTCAGATCTCAACTTTCTGAGAAGCTGGGATTACAGATATGAGCCACCAGTGTCCAGTTTTCACCAGAACTTTTAAGAAAATAATTTGTTATTTTTCTCATAAATACACTTTTGGTGGTTTAATTAGTATATACATGGATTAATATACACATTATTGTGATTTTAACTTTACTAGAAATATTTAAAAACATTGCTAGGCTCACGTCTGTAATCTTAGCTACTCAGGAGGCTAAGATCTGAGGATCACACTTCAAAGCCAGCCCCTGAAGAAAAGTCCATGATATGCTTATCTTCAATAAACCACCAGAAAACCGGAAGCCATGCTGGGGCTTAAGTGGTAGAGTCCTCACCTTGGTAAAGAGCTGAGGGACCAGGCCCAGAGTTCAAGACCCATGACCAACTAAAAAACAAACAAGCAAATAACATTTCTTCTCTCTTTTGTATGTAGCTAACATTATGATTGGATTAATGATAAAATGCTCTTTTACAATATAATGTATATAATATACCATATTTTATTGACTAGATTTTCTATATTACTCCTATTCCTCTTGATCTTCAAATAAAGATTTTTTTTAAATTTATTTTCTCGTTTCAGAAAAAATGAAGAGCAATAAAAAGTCTTTTGCTAGCATAAACAGGAGAAACATTTTTGGAGAGAACTTAATATATAAGGCTGCTCTAGATAATGATGTTCACCTTGTTCGTCATTGTATAAAAAATGGTGGAAATGTTAATCAGCCATGTTATGCTGGTAAGTCAGGGTTGTCTTGGGGGTGGCTTATATAGTTTTAGCTCACTGGCCTTTATGAAAGTATAACGAATTGGTTCTAAAAGCAAGTCCCAGAGAAAGGATTCTGGTAATTTTCCTGCTTAAGATGCTTTTTAACCATTACCTCTCAGGGAAGATGGTAAGGTTAAGGAGGTGTTTGATGGGAGAAAAGCATTATATTTTTTTCCTTTAAAGATTATGCCAGGTGGACCATGGCACTATAAAGAAGGAAAAATGAGTCTAGCTTTGCATGGTCATTGTTAGTATGAGACTTAATCTTAAATGAAGTAAAAAACTGGAAGAAGCTAATGGTACAGTGAGCTGCAGGGGAAATTTATGATAGAATGGCAGGTGTATTACAGGAGTAATTGCTAAGGAAATGAAGAGAATAAAGTATGAGGTAGAGACAGTGGAACAGGGAGCAATCTTTCTCTAGGGCTATGTTTCTGGTACTTCCTTGTAGTGAGAGTGTGACATATTCTTTTAAAGAAGAATGATTCTTTAAAGATATTAAAATACTTAATGTACTGAACAGCACTGGACCAGCCAGGAGGGTACTTTTATGTATCTGCATTTTTACTTTTGTTTCTAGACTTTCTGTATGTGTAAAGCTGCAAAATCTGCTGGTACTGTACCACTTGAGCCACATCTCCACTTCTAGCTTTTGTCTATTAATTAAAGATAAGAGTTTCACAGATTTGTTTGCTTTGGTTGGCTTTGAATTGCAAACTTGATCAAACTTGGACCTCTGAGTATAGGCATGAGCTGCTAGTGCCTGGCAACTGTATATATCTTTTAAATTTTGTTTAGTTTTATATTTTTTATTTTATTTTATTATTTTGGCTGAGGTGATTCTCTTTTAGTCTTTTTTAATTTGGTGGCATATAGGAATCTAGTTTCATTTTCTTTATGTGGATATTAATTTGCTTTGGATCATATTTTGAAGGGCTGCCTTTTTTCAGTATATACTTATGGAAGATTAGTTGGCATTGGATACATTGCTTTACTTCTTATCTTATTCCATTGGCCTGTGAAGTACAGCCACATAATATTGAATGATGCTTCTCCAAATAACATAAGTTGCTTACTGTTAAAAGTTCCACGCCCCTTTTTGTCTTAAGAATTATAGCATTTCTTCATATTTAATTCTACCTTCAATTAATGCTCAGGTAACAAACAGTAGCATTGTGTTGCAAGGTCTGCAACATAGTGCAGCAATACCAATCAGGTTCTTCACAAAATTTAATTTTTACAAGGCTTGACTAGTTGTCAACCATCTGGTTACATGGTGGTTGGTGTGCCATCATGAAAAGGACAATCAAAGCCGGGCGCCGGTGGCTCACGCCTGTAATCCTAGCTACTCATGAGGCTAAGATCTGAGGATCATGGTTCAAAGCCAGCCCGGGCAGGAAAGGCTGTGAGACTCTTATCTCCAATAAACCACTCGAAAACCGGAAGTGGTGCTATAGCTCAACTGGTAGAGTGCTCACCTTGAGCTGAAGAGGGCAGGGACAGCACCCAAGCCCAGAGTTCAAGCCTCACGATGGACCAAAAAAAAAAGAAAAAAGAAAAGGACAATCAAGAACATGGATACATTCTTTCTCCATAAGAGTAGTGTTACAAATTGCTTCACATACTCTTAGCTATTGTGGTAACTTCATACTTAAATTCTTCAATAAATTTGTTTAAAGTCACATTAGTTGCATTGTATGTAATAAGGAATCTTATGTTCTTGTATGTGACTTTTTGCAGAACAGGATGGTTCATTTGAGCCATGGTTAGTTAAGCACTCAGTAAGATTATGAAAGAAGTAAAAAAAATTTAATACAGAGATAAGAAAGAAGCAGGTCTACTTTAATATATACCACTTAAGATTCTCAGAGCTTTTACTATGAAATCAGGAATAATGATACATGAAATAACCTCTTAAAAAGGTATAGAATTTTTTATTTCAGTAATACTAAGGCAATAAAAAGGAAGTGCATGGAGGTTTACTCCATGCAGGTCAGAACTCTTAGAAATACTCTGCAGATTGTAATTCACCACTTTTATGTCCATATTAACCACTCTTCTGGGGACTTCTAGGTTGAGTAGTAATGAATCACTATAATGTATGCATTTCCTCTAGGTTTTCCAGTTTCTTGGCATATGTTTGTTCATCCATAGTCTCTGATGGTCTTTTGTATTCCTGTGGTATTCATTTATCTGACTTGTTTTTCATCTGATTTTATCTCTCTCTTTTAAAAAAAGTTTTTGTTAGTATAGCTTAAGGTTTGTTGTTTTAATTTGTTTTTGTTTTGTTGATTTGTCGTATTTTTAGTCTCTATTTCTCCTATGATGATTGTTATTTCTAACTTTGAGTTTGACTTGTTCTTGCTTTTCTAATTCTTTAAATTGCATTGTTAGGTTGTTTGAGATCGTTTTCTTTTTGGATAAGGCATTTATTTACTAGAAATTCCCTTTTTAGTACTGTTTTTGCTATATCCCATAGTTTTTGCCTATGTTCTTTTTTTTTTAACTGTATTTTTTTGTCTTTTCTTTTTTGGTACTGGGGATCGATCCCAGGATGTTGCACTTGCTAGGCAAGCGTTTTGCCACTGAGCTACATCCCAGCCCTGTTTTTGCCTATTTTCTTTAAAATCTTTTAAAATTATCTTTAAGTAGTTGTATAAAGGAGGTACCATATAACAAAGCAGTTTATGAATACAAAATATCTTGAACAGTGTCACCTCCTTCAACATGCTCACCTCCCCTTCAACCTATCTCTTCTCTTCCTTTTCTTAATTTTATGGTAGATACAATGAATTCTTGACTGTGTTCTCCCCTATAACTTTCCCCCTCTTTGATTTGTCTGCCCCTCTCCCCTTGGTCTCACCCCCTGGTGTTGATTTCTTTGGGCTTTGACCTAATCTTCTAAAAAAATGATACTATGTGACCTCATCTTAAGAATCTTTTTTAGTTGAAATACTGTAGATAGCTATGTTTACAAATAAGGAGAAAAAGAAATTTATACCTGTGAAACGACTGATACGTAGTATCTGAGTTACCTTTCTTAGTACATTTCTTTCTTTCCTTTTTTCTTCTTTTGTTTTGTGCCAGTATTGGGCCTAGAGTCAGGATCTGGGTGTGACCCTTATCTTTTTTTGTTTGAGAATGGCACCCTAACCACTTGAGCTACAGTTCCACTTCCAGATGGTTTGGGTGGTTAAATGGAAATAGGAATCTCACAGAGCTTCCTGCCCAGGCAGGCTTCCAACCTTAATCTTCAGATCTCAGCCTCCTCAGTAGCTAAAGTTACAGGCTTGAGCTACTTGCACCAGCTATGTGTATTTCCAAATCAAGCACTAGTTATTTTAGTGGAACTATCTTGAATTAGAAATAAAGCATTTCTCTTTCTTCTCTGCAGAAAAGTAACCTGAAACTAGTATTCTGTATTAGTTGACATTATACAGTTTTTTTATTTGGTCAGGTCAAGAGTGCTTTGACTTCTTATCTTTGACTTCTTATATTTTTCATAACAGGATTGAGGGTTAAAATTTTTATTTATTTTCCCTTAGATTTTTTTTTTTGTTTGGTGTAGGGCTTAAACTCAGGACCTAGGTGCTGTCCCTGAGCTTTTTCACTCAAGATTGGCACACAATGCTTGATAAGAAATGTACTCAGTACCTTGCTTATGTAACTGTAACCCCTCTGTAGAGTATTTTCACAATAAAAAAAACTTATTTAAAAAAAAAGGCTGGCATGCTACCACTTTGAACCACAGCTCCACTTCCAGTTTTCTGGTGGTTAATTGGAGATAAGAGTCTCACAGATTTTCCTACCTGGCTGCCTTCAAACTGTAATCCTCAGATCTCAGCCTCCTGAGTAGCTAGGATTACAGGCATGAGCCACTGGTGTCTGGCTTCCTGGAGGTATTTTTTAAATTCACCAAATAATACAGGGTATTGATGATATATGTTTCACAAAATCAAAATGTATTTAAAGAAATAATCTATGATTAGAGTTGTTCTTTTAAAAACAAGCACAAAACATCAAGATGCCAAATATAAGCAAATGTCACTTTTTTTGTGTGTCTAATAGGTTGGACAGCACTTCATGAAGCTAGTGTAGGAGGATTTTACCAGATAGTAAGTGAACTCTTAAAAGGAGGGGCCGATGTAAATACTAAAGGAATGCACCAGATCACTCCTCTCCATGATGCTGTGATAAATGGACACCATAAGGTATTTTAATGCTTTTGTTTGTAGAACATATGCAATATTCTCAACTACTAAATACCTGTTAATAAAATAGAAAAATATTGTTTGACTTCAGTCTGCTAATGAATATTGATAATTCAGAATAAAATTTTATGTGATATATTTGTTGCAGCTAATGTCATTTTTCATTTTTTATTTGCATGCATTAAACTATAGTGTTTTCATCATGACACTTTTACTCAGGCTTTTAATGTACTTTGATCAATTTTCTTTTTTCCCCCATTACTTACTATCTTCCCTGTTCCCATTTAAACCCATTCTCTTCCAATAATCCTATTCAACTTACATGATGGTTCTTTGAGTTCAGGGCCTTATTTATGCTTGGTAGGCTGTTGAGTGCTTGCTACCACTTGAGCTGTGTTCCAACGCCTATTTTTTGCTATTGTTTCCATGAGTTCGAGTTCGTATTAATATGCTTCCTTATATATAGTCCTTTGCACTAAGCTTTTGGGTTTGTAAGATCCCCTGTTAAGAGATCACGTGATCTCCCCACCCTCTCTTCTGTCCTTTCTTTTTTCCTTCTTTTTCTCTCTTAGAGTCTTTTAAATAAGACTTTTTTTTTTTGGTCAGTCATGGGCTTGAACTCTGTGCCTGGGCACTGTACCTCAGCTCTTCAGTTCAAGGCTAACACTCTATCACTTGAGTCACAGCACCACTTCCGGTTTTCTGAGTGGTTTATTAGAGATAAGAGTCTCACAGACTTTCCTGCCTGGACTGGCTTTGAACCACAATCCTCAGATCTCAGCCTCCGGAGTAGCTAGGATTACAGGTGTGAGCCACCGGCGCTGGCCTAAATAAGACATTTTTATATTCAACAACTTATGAATCAGTAGCAAAGTTGTTACAGATAATTCTAGAATATATTGTTTAAAGAAAGATTGGGAGGTTTAATTTCTTGACCTCTGAGTATTTTTTAGATATGAGGCCTTTATCTGATGCATAGCTAGTAAAGATCTCCCATCCTGTGGGCTTTCTATTTATCTTGCTAGGTATATCCTTTGCTATGCCAAACTCTTCAGTTTGATGCAGTTCCATTTATCTAGTTTTTCTCTGATTTGTTGTGATTATGGATCTTTACTTGGGAAGTTTTGACCTGTGTCAAAGAGCCTTAGTGTTTTCCCTATCCATTCCTGTAATATTTGCAGGATATCTGTGGTCTTACATTGAGGACCAACCCAAATGTCCCTCAGTGGATGAAAGGATCATACATACATTCATACATGCATACATACATACACATACAATGGAATTCTATGCTTTCATCAGAAAGAATGACATGTCTTCCATTTGTAAAGAAATAGAAAGACTTAGAAAAAATTATACTAAGTGAAGTAAGCCAGACCCAAAGAAACATAGGCTACATGATTTCCCTCATTTGCAATAATTAGAATGTGCTTATAAATCTACAAGTAAACTCAATGGATAGTAAAAGACAAATAATTACAACTGAACATGATCAATTAAACAATAGTCTAAACGTTCACATAGACAAAAGGAGAATATTCTTTGGAGAGGATCATAAGAGCTCAATAACTGTGCATATGATAACATAAAATAATTCTTATTGAAATGAACTCCAAGAAATGGAAACAATGTTTTTTATTGTACTGTTTGTGGTTCTTTTCTTTTTCTCTTCTTTCCTTGTTTCTTTGGTTTATTCCCTCTGTCATTGGTTTTTATTTCTGTACCCATTGTCTTTTTTTGGGGGGGGGGCGGTTGTGGGGCCTGAACTCTGGGCTTGGGCGCTGTCCCTCAGCAATTCAGCTCAAGGCTAGCACTCTACCACTTGAGCCACAGCACCACTTCCAGCTTTTTAATTTTTGCTTATGTAGTGCTGAGGAATCGAACCCAGGGCCTCATGCATGCAAGGCAAGCACTCTACCATTGAGCCACCTTCCCAGCCCCTGAACCCAATGTCTTGTATAAACGTTTTATCTGATTTGGGAGAGGGAAAGGGAAGTACAGAAATGGTGAGACAAAGGGTGAACCAATTCAGCAGTGAAACCTACTAGACACTATGTTAGAAATGGACTATACCACGTGAGGTGAGGGAAGGGAAGCCGGGAGGAGAACAATTGGGAAAGAATAAGAGAGAAGGTGACACTTTTCAGAAGAAACAGTTACAGTTTTGTAACTGTAACCTCTCTGTGCATCACCTTTATAATAAAATTTTTAAAAAAGATAAAGAGGAAGGTTGGTGTTGCATGGAGTTGTGGTGCTAACACACATTTACAATCATATACTATTTGTCTAGACTCCCTTATACCAATAATCTTTATCTAGGTAGCAGAGTTACTTCTTTTGAATGGAGCTGATCCATTATTTAGAAGTGACAATGGAAAGTGTCCTTGGGATGAGGCCAAAGATTCACGTATGAAGCATCTCCTTGAGAAATACATTCCTAAAGATGACAAATGTCTTAAATCAGGTAAGATTAAAGTACCATGTTATAGCTGCTCTTCAGGTTGATAGAAAGTTACAGAAACTGAATTTCAAGTTACAGAAATTCAATTATTTTTCATATAATTTTGTTTTGAGTCAGGGTCTCACTATGTAGTTAAAGCTTGTATTGAACTTACTAGATAGCTCAGATTGACTTGAACTCAAATCCTCCTGCTTCCCCTCCTAAGTTCTGAGATTATATGCAAAAACTACTACATATGTTTTAAGAAAATATATTCATTTTTGTTCCAGTCATTTAATAAAGCACAGTAATATTCAAAGTGATGTAAGAGAAAAACTCTAAAAGAAAAAGGGTAATTGTTTTTCTCTAGCTGTGGACTGTGGATAGTTAATAAACTTTTTACAAACTTGTGCTCTTTTCCTAACAGTTCTTTGAATTGTATGATAGGATAGAACTATAATTGGTTGTATTCCTTTTTATGAATATGACCAGAACTGTATATATCCATTTACTAAGACTCTTTTGAAAAGCCTATCTTTTTCCTTTCCATATCTTGTGTTAAGTTGAAATATAACACAAATTTTATCTGTACTTACCAATAAAAATATTATTTAGAAATAATATAAAAATTAATTTAAATACATGGTATATTCTTTAGACTCCTTATAACACATTTGTTAATTTTTTTTGTTTTTGTTTTAAATTTAAATTTTATTGTCAAGGTGATAAACAGGGGTTACAGTTACATACATAAGGTAATGAGTACATTTCTTGCCAAACATCATTATCCCTTCTCATTTTTCTTCCACTTCCCCCCCCAATAGTGGTACTTTTTAAAGATTTTTTTTTTTAATTCATGATTTAGTTGTAAATAGTTTTACAATCCAAAATTACATTACAAAATCTAGTTAATTCCATTCCAGTCTCCCTCTGATCTACAATTCTAGTTTCTAATATTTACTTCTATATTTAATACAATTCCTAAACTATGTTTTACTCTTATTTATTGAATTGTCAATTTAAACCTTATTTATTAGTAATATTTCTTAAGATTTTTTTTTTATGTTTTCCCCTACGCATGATGCCTTTTCCTTATTTATTGTTATATATCAGCACTAGGACTGATTGTACATGCCTGTAATCTCAGCTGTGTGTGTAAACATAGGTAGGAGGGTATATCCCAGTTCAAATTAAGACCCTACCTGAAAAATAAATGAAAGTAAAAAGGGCTTAAGAGGTGTGGCTTAAGTGCTAGAATGTGTGGAGGCCCTAAATTTAAAGTTTGGTGCCTCCAAAATGATAAAATTGTTATAACAAGTATAAATAAAAAACAGTTCTTGTTCTTTTTTTTTTTTTTTTTATGTTGGTTGTGGGTCTTGAACTCTGGGCCTGGGCACTGGCCCTCAGCTCTTCAGCTCAGGCGAGTCTACCAGGCGTAAGCCACAGGAGTCCGGCACCTTTTATTTTTTATTTTTTTTACTGTTTTTTTTTTTTTTGTCCGTCGTGGGGCTTAAACTCTGGGCCTGGGCGCTGTCCCTCAGCTCTTCAGCTCAAGGCGAGCGCTCTACCACTTGAGCTACAGCGCCACTTCCTTGTTAAATTTTTTTTATTGTTGTTGCTCATGATATTACAGGGATCGTCTGCTTAAAATCTTGCAATAAAAAATAATATAAAAATTAATTTAAATACATGGTATATTCTTTAGACTTCTTGTAACACATTTGTTAAATTTTTTATTGTTGTTGCTCGTGATATTACAGTGATCTTCTGCTTAAAATCTTGTAATATCTGGGTGCCAGTGGTTCACACCTGTAATCCTAGCTACTCAGGAGGCTGAGATCTGAGGATTGTGGGTTCAAAGCCAGTTGGGGCAGGAAACTCTATGAGACTCTTATCTACAATTAACCATCAGAAAACCAGAAGTGGTGCTGTGGCTCAAGTGGTAGAACGCTAGCCTTGAGCTGAAGAGCTGAGGGACAGTGCCCAGGCCCAGAGTTCAAGCCCCACGACCGACTCCCCCCCAAAAAAAATTTTTGCAAATAGCTCTCTCTTTAAACTAGAATAATTTAGTGTCCTCAAAGTAGTCTCTCTGTTTTGTATAAGTTGGCCACCCTATTTGTCATCCTCATTCTCTTGTCACTCTCTACTTCTATTACTCAATTACAGTTATACTGCCTTCCTTGCTGTTCCTCAGATGTGCCTCCTTTACCACTTTTAATTCTAGTTCAGATGTTACCTTCTCAATGAGGCTTATACTAGCTTAATATTGCTCTTACTGAATTATTTATCTACTGCCATGCAACAGTTACCTTAAAGTATAGTAGCTTAGAACAGTGAGCATATTGTCTTGTACAGTTTGGGGGGAAAAGGAATCTAGGAGAAGTACAGTTGAGTGGTTCTGGATTGGGGACTCTCATAGGTTGTATCCTTCTCAAGGTTAGACTGGCGTAGGAAAAATCACTCTTATTTGTCACTCTTATTTGTTGTTGGCAGGCCTCTGTTCCTTGACACTTGAACTTTTCTGTAAGACAGCTGACAACCAGTAAATGACCTTAGAAAGAGAAGGAACCCAAGAATATCCCAGTCTTTTCATAATTTAATATTGGAAGTGATATAACAGAAGCTTTCCCATAATATTTCTGTTAGTTATGGTTCACTCTGGGGAGAAATTTAAGCCCTACCTCTTGAATAAAGTGTCAAAAGTTATGGACATATTTTTGAAGTGACTACAGTCGTTCCAGTCCCTTCTACACTGCCCCAGTTAGCCTTTTCCTATAACTTTTTATCTATTGACACATTAGGCAACTGACTAAATTCTCTAGTACGTTAGGCATTTGATTTATTTATTGTTTTTTATCTTCTCTCTATAGAACCTAAGCTTGATGAACTAAAGGATTTTTGTTTTTTCTCCTGAAGAACATAAAATTACTATGTACATGATAGCCAGTCAAAAATATTTGTTGAGCAACTAGTTTGTTAGTCTTCTGATATGAATACAAAACAGATTATTGAAGAGATTCACTTTTCTTAAACTCTGTTCTTTATTTTTGTCAGGACTGATGTTTGTGCTCAGGACCTCACTCTTGCTGGGCTTTTTCAATCAAGTATGGCACACTAACACTTTAGCCAAACCTTTACTCTGGCTTTTTCCTGATTAATTACAGATGGGCTTTTTCTGCCCAGGATGTCTTTGAACCAGGATTCTCAGATCTTAGCCTCCTAAATAGTTAGATTACAGGTATGGGCCACCAGCACCAAGCACATACTATATTGTTAATTTTCTCAAGAGATATTTCACTAAAGAATTTTGAGGAAGTGGCACTGTGGTTCAAGTGGTAGAGTACTAGACTTGAGCTGAAGAGCTCAGGGACAGTGCCCAGGCCCAGAGTTCAAGCCCCGTGACTGACAAAAAAAAGAATTTTGTGTATTATTATCTTTGACAACAGGCTTCTTTTTTGTGCATAGAAAAGTTTAATATAACACTTCCATACAAGATGAATGAGTTGCCTTACAAGTTGCCAACTGTACTTAAGTTTGATTCCAACTAGAACAAATAATAGACAAATAAGAGAGCTATTAATAATTTGATTAAACTGTACATTTATATTGTAAAAATTTGTTGTTAGCTCCTGTTCATAATGGCTGAATCCTGTAATCCTAGCTAATTAGGAGATGGATATCATGGCATCTATTCCAGGCCAACTTTGGCAAAAAGAAGTTTAAGAGACCAATGGCTAGACTTGGTGGTATATGCCTGTTATCCTAGCTATAAGAAAAGAACAGTGGCTAGCACCTGTCATCCCTAGCAATGTGAAAGCACAAATAGGAAGGTCACAGCCCAGGAAAGCCTAGGCATAAAAAGAGACCATATCTCCAACATAACCAACACAAAAAGAGGCTGGAGCTTGAGTGACAGAACATCTGTCTACCAAGCATGAGGCCCTGAGTTTAAGCCCCAGTACCACAAGAAAAGAATTACTTGGTAGTAAGTAATATGGTACTTGTTTTCCTTTATGACTAACAGATCTATTTTGCTACTTTTTAGCCAATTATTTTTTATCAATTATTTACTTGCTCAAGTAATGTAGTTGCTTGCCTGCTACGAAGGACTAAGACCTATATCAAAATACCCTACCTTTAAAATAAAGAGATTATTTCACTGGTTGTGTTTTGAGATTGGTGTCTTGCTATATTGTTCAAGCTGGTCTCAAACTCCAGAATTCAAGATAATCCTTCCACTTTAGGCTCCAGAGTAGCTGGGGCTACAGGAACATGCCATGGCGCTCAGCTTTCACTCAGAGGTAATTAGTTAATATTTCTTTACAGTGTAAGTCTCACATAAGGGCGGAAAACCTTTTATCTGCCAAGGGCCATTTGGAACATTATTTGAGGATCAAATAAAATTATCAATACAGACAGATGGCTGTAGGTGAAGCATATGAGAAGCACACATGTTTGTCTTATCATATACTAAGTGATTTCTTAGGCCTTGCACATCACAGGCCAGAGCTTCCCCACCCCAGACAGTAAATCACACCAGAAGAGAAAAAAGACAGTAACTTGTGGAGGTCAGGTATATTAAAACACATTGACGTAGGTTATTAAAACATTGACATTTACATTTCAAATTATATGAAAAATTGCAGATGTTTAGTTAGAGGCAAAAGTTTAGAAATTTAATTCTTTTTGCTTTGATGGTATGCTAGCTTAGCTATTTTATGATGGCATGTATTATTTTGTACTTCCAGAACTGCTTTCTCTAGCAGTCTTAACTGTATCTCCAAATCCAGAATCTCATGTTCACTAATGCCTACTTCTATTTGTACACAACAGAATTTCCTTTATGAAAAGGATACTTTTCTCTTTGAACTTAGTTCTGTTTTACTTGGTAAGAGAATTTTCTAAGATGGGTCATATCATGTTTTACCAGATTTTGAAATTTCTTTAGTTTGAATGTTTGTCAGCCTACTTTTCATTATAAGTGTGAAATTGTTCCCTTGAAGAATCTATATGTTTATACAGACTATTTACTTTTGAGTTCTGATTGAAAGCTAGATGCTGGTGGCTCATGCTGTAATACCAGCTACTGAGGAGGCCGAGTTCTAAGGATTATGGTTGAAAGCCTGCCTGAGCAGGGAAGTCTGTGAGATTCTCATCTCCAATTAACCACCAAAAATCTGTGACTTTTTGATGAACCAGAGGCTTGAACTCTGGGCCTGGGGTACTGTCCCTGAGCTGCTTTTGCTCAAGGCCAGTGTTCTACCACTTGAGCCACAGCACTACTTCCAGCTTATTTTTTTAGTAGTTTATTGGAGATAAGAGTCTCATGGAGTTTCCTGTGCAGGCTGGCTTTGATGTTATCTCTTGGAGTTTTCTGTGCAGGCTGGCTTTGAACTACAATCTTCAAATCTCAGCCTCCCAAGTAGCTAGGATTATAGGCATGAGCCACTGATGTCTGGAAGCTGTGACTTGAGCTATGGCTCAGTTAGTAGAATGCTAACCTTGACAGGAAAAGCTCAGGGACCACACACCCAGGCCCAGGCCCTGAGTTCAAGGAAAAGAAAAAGAAAAGAATATAGTTGAAGAGCTTTTTGAGGGTAAGGAAGGGGATGCTGGGAATGAAACCCAGCAAACTGTATGTGTTTCACAAGCATTCCATCCCAGAGCCACATCTGTAGTCCTGAAGAGCTTTTAATTATAAAGATGATGACTTAAAGGACTTGCTTCATATATATATATATATATATATATATATATATATATATATATATATATATATATATATATATATATATATATACACCTTTAAAGCAGGTAGTAAAGTTTATCTGCTTTGGCGTTGGATAGGGATTCATTTTATGACCTTGGGTAAATTAACACCCCTAATTTTCTTAATTGCAAATTTGACTTCATATCTATGAGACTGTTAGTGTGAGGATTGGAGTTAATGTATATAAAATACTTCAACACAATACCTATCATCCACAGAGCTCAGAATGACAAAGGGAAAAGAATATAGCTACCTCACCAAATTTGCCTCTTCAGAATAATATCTGTCTAGTAAGTTGATTATATTGCAGAATCTAGTCTTAAAAACAGAGAAAATGAAACTTCTTTTCTTCCTTTTAGATTCTTAGGAAACATTAAATCTTAGTTTCCTGCTTTTAATTTAAATTTGGAAAAGGCACCATATTTTTATTCTCTTAATATTAATGTCTCAATAATGGTTTTATCATTTAATCTTTATAATTTTACAAGGTAGGAACTATTATTACCTTTCATTTATGGACATTTTATCCACTTACTATCACTCAGCAGATAAGCAGAGTCAACTGAAACTCAGGAATGAAGTTTCAGAGAATGTACTCTTTCCCCCTTGGTTAGAAAGAAACTGTGTATGCCTTTTCTTACCTGATAGAGGTAACTGGATAATTCAGGTTTTGTAATGCAAACCATAATTCGATCACTATTATTAGATATATTCCCAAGATATAAATTAAATTGCTTTGTTTTAATATTTTACATTTTGAACTTATATTCAAGGAATTTGTGTGCGTGTGCATGTGTGTGTGTGTGTGTGTGTGTGTGTGTGTGCGTGCGTGCGCCCGTGCGCATGTGCATGATATATGCCTTCCTGTAGTGGTGTGTGAACTCAGGGTCTGGATGCTGTCTTTGAGCTATTTGGCTCAAGATTAGTGTTTTACCCTTGAACCACAGCTCCACTTTGAACTTTTTTACTTTGGTAGTTTTACTAGAGAGAAGAGTTTCATGGGTTTCCTGCCCAAGCCGGTTTCGAATAGTGATGCTCAGATCTTAGACTCCTGAGTATCTATGATTACAGACATGAGCCACCAGCACCCAGCTGGAAATTCATATTTTAATGAATCACATCTGAAATATTCATTTATTCTTTCTTCTGTCAAATATTCAATTAGTACTTTCTGCATGCAAGGCATTTCTTCTAGGTTTTTATCATTTTGGGGTGAATGCACAGATAGGTAGTTTTAATTTTGCCTTCAGTATTTGAAGGAAGCAATAAAAGGTATACTAAAGTACATTATTTTTATTATTAACCTATGCTTCTTTTCAAAACCATCTTTTGTTGCATAAGCAATTACAATGTTATTAAACCTTTCTATGCCTATATTTTGTTTTGAAGACAATGAAGCATTCAAATTAGAACCATATTAGGTAGAGACAGTAGGAAATGATGATGATCTAATTAATTATGTAAGAATTATTCTGCTTGGTAGAAGTAGCTTGTATAGTCTCTTAACTGAAGAGGTCATATCTAGATGGATCTGTGGGGAAAATAAAAAATAATGATTTCAGTGCAGTTTTCAGTATTAATTCTTTTACTGCTTATTTTGTTCTTCCTGTAGAAATGTTACTACTCTCAGTATAATATTTAATTTCTAATAGATAAAATTTTACTTATTCAACTTGATTTTCTCATGGCAAAAGATTTGTGGGTTCAATTCTAGTATGTGACCACTACAAGCTGTTTATTAACGTTTTGTTTTGGTTTACAGCTCAAAGTAATGGCACTCACCGAGTAGATGTAGAGGATGTACACCAGCACAAGGTATTATCTATGTTTACCAATAATGTGATTCTTATAGGAATAGAGCTACCGAACTGCTGTAGCATTTATTAGGAACAGTGTCTTCACCTTTGGTTTTAAGACACTTTGGAATAATTACATGAAAATGAGAAGATTCTAGGCTGTTAGTCTGAAAGGAATTGAGTAAATGTAGTATGTCTGGGGACAATAATATATTATTAACCATTTCCTTTCTTTTCTTCTCCATAAGTTTTATCAATCATGTCGAATTTCTTGGATTAAACATAATCTAAAAATCAAATATTTCAGTATATTGTTTCAAAATTTTACATGCCAGGCATTTACTTTTCATCTGGTATTTGAATGTGGTGAGAGGAAGCAGTGTTCCTATTTTACTTTTGCAGTAATAAACTTTCCATATAGACAAATTTAGGAGAGTATCTGTCTTCTAGCTTTTAAATCACTTGTTTTGTTGCACTGTTCTCCCAAACAGCAATGGAAGAAATTCTCTAGCTATTTAACATTGGGGAGAAGAATGTTTCTAAAGCATTTTTGAACAGTTTATAGTAAAGGAAACTGGTCTGATTGGCTAAAAAGCCTATAAAAAACTAAGTAGTTTAAAATTTGAAATTATATTTATTAAGTATAATATACTAGTATAGTATATATAATACATACTATATATAATATAGTACTAATGTACAAGTATTTTAAGTATGCAGCAGAAAATAAATATTAGTATACATACCTACTCTTAAGTCTATATTTGAGTTTCTTGTACATAGTCCACTCTTCTGAAATTCCAAATTGAATATATTCCAGCAGGTCCTGTGGCTAGACACAAATTATAAAATTAAATAGAATAACAAGTTGATATACTAAATATCAACATTAACTTGAGAATGTAAAAGCTTAAGTTGAAAATGAAAGCTAACTATATATTTTGTTTCTATAGAAACCAAAATTCAGTTCAAAAACTTGCTCTGAGTCAGTTTCTAATGAAAATTCAAACAGATATAAACCAGAACATGAAGAAGTCAATAAAGAAAGAAATGAGGGTTTACCTATAAGTAATGAAGATATATATGAACGTTTCACAAACAATTCTACAACCACAAACTTTGGCAGATCTAAACCTAAACAGTCCTCTGTTAACCAAATATACACTCGAGAATTAAGAAAGCGCAATATCAAAGATACCAGCACAAATGTGTCTAAAAATAAAGAAAGAAGAGACTTACATAACAAGACTCAAGCAGATGATGGGGACTACAATTCAAGACAAGCAATTGCTGTTACTTCTTCCAGTATAATAAACAAATCAGTTAGTCACCAGCAGCATGTTCTCCAAACCTTTAATGATTTTCCACAAGATTCCTGTGAACTTTTCAGCCCAACTTTGTCAAGTCTGAAAAGTGGATTAGTCAGCAATACTGAGGCTTGTTCAGCTTCCAAAGAGACACATACTTACAATCTGGATTTATCAAGTAGTCAAGAAATGAAATTTTTAGAATTAGAATCCATAGAGCAAACTGAAGCTGTTTCAGGACTTCCATCACATAAAGAAATCAAGTTACCATTTGTTACTACAGATCAGCAGATTCATACTCACCAAAAACAACACAGTAGCCCATACAAATCTCAGGAAAATAGTAACTCAGTTCAGAAAAATAATAGCTTTAATAAATGGGAAAACTCTTTCTTGTCCTTCGTAAAGGCACATTTTGATAGTGATGATAGTGATAGCAGTATCTCTGAGAAAATTGTAACATCTAAAAAAGTAGAATATAAAAACCACCATAATTACGAAGAAACTATAACAAATAGTGAAGAAATGGATTCTCAACCATTTTTACCTTCTGAGGGCCATGTTTCACAGGAAAATGAGTTAAAAGCAGGAAGCCTAACCACACTGTCACAACAGGAAGCTGTTAATTTCTGTGATTCAGATGACACAGTTATTTCTGAACAATATGTTGTAAATTATGAACAACAACTTTATGGGATTTCTTTTGATCACTCATATTGCAATCGGGAGCCAATTTCCATGGCTTGTACAAGAATGCCTTCCACACTTGAAGTTTCAAATTTTACTTGTCACTTGGAGCAAGTCAAAAAGCCTCAGGATGCTAGCTCCGGAGAATCAACTCCTTCAATGAGTCAAATAGATGCACAGAATGTGGAAAAGCCATGTGTGGAAGAGAATCAAGACGCAGAACCAAATTTTCTCAGTAATCAAACAGATACACATGTGGTAAAGGTATGTATGGAAGAGAAACAAGATACTAAAAGGAATTACAATAACAAAGACCAAAATACAAGTTCTTCGACTAGGTTTTTTCCCATAGTTGTTGATTCTGAGGCAATGGAAACAAGTGCAGTTGAAAAAAGGAGACAAGACCTTCCAGAAAAGGAGCCAATGAATAACACAGACTTCCATTCCATTGACAATATGAATAATGAATTGACTAATACCTCACAATGTAATCAAAAAGAAGAAAAGGAAATTTCTCATAAACCAGGTATTAGTAGTATTGTTCATTTTATACACCTTTCATATAGACTTACTACATTTTATAGAAATGTTCAACTTAACCAGTGTTCAGTCTGACAAGAATGAGGCAAAGTGAATCATGATTGGGGATGCTGCAAAGCCTAGGGGTAAAATAAAAATATTTGCTTTGAAAGTCATATTGTTATTGTCAAAGATAGTTGCTAAACTGTTAGTAACAAAACTAATGAATCATGTCTATTGATTTTTATTTCTTTATATTGTCCACTTATTTAGTGTCAAGTGACCTTATATCATCTCATAGCAAGAAATTGTTGGCTAAATTGATTTCAACTTATTCATTGTATTCTCACCAGAATTTTAACCAAAAAACTTCATGTTTATTATATAAGAATCACATTAAAGACTTCCATTCTTTTAAACAGTTCAGCTTGAAACAGAAACTCTAAAAAATATGCATATTCTTTTATTTTATATAACCTGTAAGCACCACAACACTGATACTGTATGTTTGTACTTGAGTTAACAAATTATGAGGCAGAAAAAGAAAAAAATGGATTCAGATATCCACAGGCTTCTTAATACCCCCAAAACAAAAAAAGGACACAATTTTAGAAAACAACAAAGTTTCTTGAAATCTACCTGCATCCAAGATTTGTATAAATTATTTAAGCAAAAATTTTGTAAACAAGTCTAGTGATCAGTGCCACAAAAGAATGTCTAAACCTTAAGTTAAACTGTTCATTTTAAGAATAAATTTAACTATAGTTAAAGGACCACTGAGAGATGAGTATAGAAATGAAGGTGAGGGTGGGAAGTTCGTTCAGTGGTAGAGCGCTTGCCTTGCATGCATGAGGCCCTGGGTTCAATTCCTCAGCACCACATAAGCAGAAAAAAAAGCCAGAAGTGGTACTGTGGCTCAAGTGGTAGAGTGCTAGCCTTGAGCTGAAGAGCTGAGGGACAGCGCCCAGGCCCAGAATTCAGGCCCCATGACCAGACTAAAAAAAAGAAAAAAGAAATGAAGGTGAGATTCTCTGTTCTTAATAATTTCTTATCAAGTGTTTTGTTAACCACCTTCTTTAATGAATGCAAAGTAATGTGTTTAGACATGCTATAATTTCTTCACAAGTTATGCTTTAAAACAATATTGACATTGTTAATGTTAATATTAATTTAGTGTGATGCATTCTGCTTAGAATACATTTTGAGAAAGTTGTCACATATTTTCTAAGATTCTTTATAATAATTAGCTCTTGGCAAAAAAAGCCTCATTTTGGTTGCTAAATTTACAGACATAGAAACAGCCAGAATTGATAGGAGGTCTGTGAAAGGGAAAAGTCAACTTCATTTGGCTGCCAGAAGAGGAAATTTGTCCTATGTGAAAGCTCTGATAGAATCTGGAATGGATGTGAATGTAAAAGATAATGAAGGTTTGGATCATTTTAACTTAAGTTTTTACAATTTTGAATTCCCTGAAATACTTTTTCTTTTCTCTCACAATCTTTTTATTATATATATATGTGTGTATATATATACATACATATACATACTTTTTTACATCAGTCATGGTGCTTGATCTGGAGTCCTGGACTTTGTCCTTGAGATTTTGTGCTTAAAAGTGATCTACCACTTGAGTCAGGGCTCTACTTCCAGTTTTGGAGTAGTTATTGGAAATAAGAATCTCTGACTTTTTTGTCCAGTCGGCCTTCAGACCTTGATCCTCAGATCTCAGCTTCCTTAGTAGCTAGGATTACAGATGTGAGTCGCCAATGCCCAGCTATATATTTTTTCTTAGCATAGGATGATTTATTATTGTTAAAATAACTTTCTCTCTTGAAACAGTTTTTTACTTTCAGTTGAGAGCACTTTCATAGGTGAGTAAAGTAAGTTAAAATCTTTTTCTTAGGAGCCTTTATTTCATTCTTTAATTTTGAAAATAATGCACAATGTTCCCATTTTCATGTACCTTCTCCTTGCTCCATTTTAGTATTTCTTTTCCCTCCTTTTAAATTCTCAGCTTCTGTTTTAAAAAATTGATCCTCTGGCATTTTGCTTATGCAAAAGAATCTTGTATTAAGAATTCCAGAGGGAAAACTCGAAGGTTGATTGAATCAGATGTCATTTTAAAGAAAAATATAGCAATGCAAAACTACAAATATAAACTTCAAACATTTAAAAAGTCAGAAAAGATTAGCATTTACTGTAGTTCCATTATATTTTACATTCTGTGACTCTTCTGTATTGACAGTTGTAACAACAACATTGTAATGTTTTAAAAATGAGAGTCACACATTTCTTTTCTATTTGATGCAATTTATTAGTTGCCAAATGTTTCTTTTGGTTTTCACATCAGCAAGAATAACAGCAGGATGATTTAGCTTATTCAGTTGGGATTCAACTTTATAAAAGTGGCTGGGTACACATGCCTGTAATCCTAGCTACTCAGGAGGCTGAGATCTGAGGATCACCATTTAAAGCCAGCCAGGGCAGGAAAGTCCATGAGACTCTTATCTCCAATAAACCACTAGAAAACCAGAAGTGGTGCTGTAGCTCAAGTGGTAGAGCGCTCGCCTTGAGCTGAAGAGTGCAGGGACAGCGCCCAGGCCCAGAGTTCAAGCCCCATGATGGACAAAAATAAAGTGGTTCTTTAATTCCTGATTACTAAGCATCCTTAAGCATATCCCCATCATTATTCACTTTGGGAGAGTCACACATTTTAAGGCCATTGTTTCCATGTTATTTCTTGTCCGCTACTTAGAATATAGACATATGTATTTATATAGATGTTAACTTCAATAATGTAAAAATTGTGTTAACAAAAATTCTACATGAATGCTGATTGATTGAGAGCAGTGTTAATTTTTTCCTCCCCCCGCCCCCGTTTAGGTTGGACACCACTTCATGAAGCATCTAATAAGGGATGTAAGGATATAATTATAGAATTATTAAAAGCTGGTGCTAATGTAAATTGTGAAAATATAAATGGAATTTTGCCCTTACATGATGCTGTAGCAGGCAATCACTTAAAGGTACGGTTTATATGAGATTGGGTTCTAATTATGTTTCTTGGGAAAATGAGTGAAGAAAATGGAGATATTTTAAAGTAGTTGATTAATAAGTCAACAAATGATTCTATTAACTTATTTATTTATTTATTTATTTATTGCCAGTCATGGGGCTTAAACTCAGGGCCGGGGTGCTGTCTTTGAGCTTTTGTTCTAGGCTAGTGTTCTACCATTTCAGCCACAGCTCCACTTCTGGCTTTTTTGGTAGTAAATTACAGATAAGAGTCTTAAGGACTTTCCTGCCCAGGCTAGCTGTGAACTGCTATCCTCACATCTCAACCTCCTGAATAGCTAGGATTACAAGCGTAAGCTACCAATAGTAGGCTCAACAAATGATTTTAAAACTTCGACTTTAAAATGAAGATACCATATTGTATATATATTCAAAAAATGATATATTTTCATGAATTATTTTTCTATTTTCTATCACATAATTTAAGTCAGAAGAAAACACATTCTATAAATCTGATATATTTCATCTTAGTTGTATAAAATTATTTGCTGTTCTGCATAAGAATCCAGTTATAGTCACGATATATGTGACAGATGGTTTTAGATTTGAATTTTAACACAGAGTTTTGCTATATAGCCCAGGTTGGCCTCTAATTTAAGATCCTCCTACCTTAGCTAGGATTACAGTTGTGCATCACCAAACCTGGCCTGAGTATCTTTCTTTTAACTTAGAAGTTCTCAGTGGGCTTGAGATAGTTCTTTTTCTTTATTAAGCAATCATAAAATCTTACAAGATAAGATAACTAGGGTCATTATTTCAGTGACACTGAAATTCAAATCTGGACCTAAAACTCCTAAAACTATTAAACTCGTCTTTTTGTTTGCCAAATTTAGGGAGAAAACTTACTTCTATCAATAGGCAGCATAGGCTCAGTGGTAATTACTTTTAGAAAAATAGTTAAGGAAACTACTACCATTAACAGCAATTTAAAACAAGATATGGTTATGTAAATTTTTCTTGTTTCCTTCTATGTACCTGTATCTTTCCTTCTGTATTTTTGATAGCTTAGTTACTTTTATTTAATTTTGTGAGAATATTCTACTACTTTCATCCTAAGTGTAACTATATGAAAGAATAATGTTATTGAGCTTATAATTTATAGAGAAAAGAGACATGAATTAATGACTAAGAACAAGACCAAAATGGATAGGCTTAATGTTCATTGTGGCTCATTTGACCAAAATAAATCCATTACTTTAAGATATTTAAAGTGAAGGGAAAATAGATACGTTTTCCAAGGTTGTGTGGTCCCTGCAAATGAAAAAAAAAGCAAACAGAAATAATCATTGAAGAGATAATCTACTAACTATGTATACAGAGAAAATGCCAGTTAATATAAAGCTACTTAAACAAAGGTCAAAATGTCATAGTTGTTAAAATCAGACCTTTTCACTTATCCTGAAAATTGTTTATTTTAAGGATAAATATTCTATAATTTAAATGAAGGTGATAAATGATACATATTTTAAATGAAGGAGGAAGAGAAAGTTATTGATTGATAGGTAAAAGAGATGCCGTGGGCTGGGAAGGTGGCTTAATGATAGAGTGCTTACCTCACATGCATGAGGCTCTGGGTTCAATTCCTCAGCACCACATAAGCAGAAAAAGCCAGAAGTGGTGCTTTGGCTCAAGTGGTAGAGCGCTATCCTTGAACTAAAGAGCTGAGGGACAGTGCTCAGGCCCAGAGTTCAAACCCCATGACTGGCAAAGAGAGTGAGAGAGAGAGAGAGAAAATGTCATACAAGTTAGCAAGGAGAGATATTCAATTGGGCACAGTCTTATAAATGATCTTTTTGTCTTGTTTTGTTTTGCATTGCTTTGCTTTGTTTTATGTTTCTTTGTGTTTTATTTTGAGACAGGGTCTCTATGTAGCTCAAGTTGGTCTCAAATAATGTGATTTTTCTTTCTCAGCCTCCTAAGTGCAAGGATTACAAGTGTGTACCACCCCTCTGGTGTAAGCGGTCTTAATTAGTGAAAATTTACCTATTTTTGAAGGCTTAGTCTTCCACCACAGCATTGTTGTATTTTCAGGGAACTGAGAAAATAATTACTTAGCTATACAGTATTTTTTTGTAAAAATATATGTGATGAGTACAAAACTACAAGAGATAACAAAAGGAGAACTTACTCGGGAATAAAATACTGAAACATTATTAGACAACTTGGATTCAAGACCTAGCTCTGCTATGTTTATGTCTTTTTCTCTGAAATGAAGAATTTAGTCTTGAGCTGAGTTACACTGTCTCATAAGCCACTAGATACATGTGGCTGTTTTAAATTTAGATTACTTTAAATTAATTAAAAATCAGTTCTTTGGTGCAGTAGCTACATTTCAAGTGATTACCACCTACATGTCTTGACCAATAGCTGAATTAAACAATATAGATTATAGCATTTCCATCATCAAAGAAATCTCCATGGGACAGCTCTGATCTAGGATAAGTGTTGGTAGTATTTTCTGTAAAAGGATAGTTTTAAACACTTCAGGTATTCTGAGTCTGTGACATAGAATCTGTTGTAGCTACTGACTGTTATTATAATGTATAAATAGTGCTAGACAATACGTAAATCAGTGTCACTATGCTATTAAAAAAAAAGTTCATTTAAAAGATCAGACAGCAGGCTGAATTCAGCTCATGAGCTCTACTTTTCTGATCTTTGATATACAGGTTCACTTATTTCCCAATATGTGTAAATGGTGATGTAATCAAAGCTTGCTTTTGGAATAACTTTTCATATCTGCCTTTATTTTCATTTATAATTTTGTTTCTGGCTATATAGGTGGTCAAATCATGCATGGTAGACAAGTATTCCTGAGTTTCATCCCCAGTCCTTTATTACATTTATGTGTTTGTTTTTTGTTTGTGCTGACCTTGAACTCAAGATTCTCCTGTGTTCATATCCTGAGCACTCTAGGTTAAAGGCTTCCACAACGATTCCCAGATTGTTTATTATGTTTACTTTAAGGATAAACATTCTATATTTTAAATGAAGGTGATATATGATGTATATTTTAAATGAGGGTATCTCTCTATATATATGTATGTATATTTTTTTGGTGGTTCTGAGGTTTGAACTCAGGTGTCTCACTCCTGCTAAGCAGACACTCTTACTGCTGAGCCAACCTCCAGCCCTGATTTCGCTTTTATGTAGTATTATTTATGGCAATACTAGAGTTTAAACTTGGCCTTACATTCACTTGACTTGCCTATTCAGCTTGCTTGCTTAGGTGGTGCTTAGCTGGTACCACCACTTGAACCATGCCTCTGGAATGATTTTATGATGATTGTTTTAAAGATAAAGTGAATCTTAGATTTTTCTGCCCAGGTTGGCTTTAAACAATGATTCTCCAGCCTCCTAAGTAGCTAGAATTACAAGCATGAGCCACTGGCTCCCAGGCTTTACTTGTTAATTTTGAGAGAGTCTTGCTTCCTGCCCAGAGTAAAACCTGGGTAATATCTACCAGTTATGCTTCCTGGTAGCTAGGATAATAATAATTGTAATTCTCTTTAACATTGATATGTTGCCAATATTTTCTTATTTATTAACTTTTAAAATCTGTTTAAATTAATATTTTATTATCGTAAAGTAGTTGTATAGAGGGATTACCATTCAACATGTCAGTTAAGGAGTACAGTGCATCTTGATCAATGTCATCCATCCTTTTATCATTCTTCTCCATCTTCCCAACCTCACTCATCCTTTGATTTTATTAACTTTTATCATCTTGTTTTCCAGCCCATTTTCTATCATTTTATTTCTGACTTACTTTCAGCCCTCTGTCCCTATTTCTTCATCTGGAAATAGAATAGAATAGTTGAAACCCTAGAATTCTACATTCAGCAAAAATAATTTCAAAATAAAGGATATGGATAAATTTGGATCCTCAAGCATTGCTGGTAGGAAACATTTTAGCAGTTCTTCAAATATTTAAAAATAGAGTTACCATATAAACTATCAGTTGTACTCCTAGGTATATCTTCAAGAAAATAGCAAACATGTTCATATAAAAACTCATATATGAATTTCATGGTATCATATTCATAATAGCCAGAAAGTAGAAACAATCAAAATTTCTATCAGTTGATGAACATATAAATAAAATGTGATATATTTAATTGGGATATTATTAAGCCATAAAAATAAAGTATTGATATATTCTACAGTATATAATAACCTTATAATTATTGTGCTAAGTAAGAGAAACCAGACATAAAAGTTCATGAATTACATATTTCTACTCAAATGAAATGTCCACAATAAGCAAATCCATACAATCATGATAGGATAGTGGCTGCAGGAGCTAGAAAGCGGATATGAGGAATGACCGTTAGTGGAAACGGACTCTCTTTTTGGTTGAGATACTTTCAGGAATTGCAAAGTGGTAGTAGTTTTACAATCTTGTGAACATACCTCATTGCAGTGAAGGAATTATATTATATTTTATGTAATTGTGTCTTGGGTTTCTATTATGAGGGCTAGTGAGGCCAAATCAATTGATTAGTTTACAGTTGGTGTACTAAAATCTAAATTAAAATTGTTCTTTTATGTAATTTGAAAACAATTTTTGATAACTTCTAGTTCTTTGTATTGGTGTGTTGATGTGAAATATGCATCTAGAGATAGCCTTGAAACACTACCTACATTGTAGGCAGCTGAGATACTACTACAACATGGAGCAGACCCTAATAAAAGAGATCAAAAAGAGAAGACTGCTTTTGATGAAGCAGATAATGAAAAAATGAAAGAGTTGCTGAAATCTTACGATGTTATTGAGACCAATGATAGAAATGAGAGTAGTGCTATGGTCACTGGTATGTATATCAATCTTGCTTGATATTTTACACAAGTGTATACCTCTGCTTAGGAAATTAAATCTTCACATATATAGCATCAGTTGCCTCATAGCTGGAGATTGAGTTTTTATGTCCATTAAAGCTCTTTTAAAGAAATTAACATGTTCAAATTTGGTTTAATTTATAGATAACATGATCCTAATAGTTTTCTATTATTGCCTGCTTGCCTTTCTCCCTTCCTTCCTTCATTCTTTCCTTCACTCCACTTTCCCTTTTCCCTTTCACTTCCTTTCCTCCCTTTTCTTCCTTCCTGCCATTGGGTTTGAGATAGAGATAGAATTGAAACCAAGCAGATTAGTTTACATTTATTAAGAATTGAAAAGATAACATTATACTAAAGTCTTTGTAACTAAGATCTTTAAAATTTCATACTAATTCATATTTAATAATTCATTAATTAGATTCATGCCATCTTTTCAACAGTATATTTGTATATATATGTATAATACATACTATACAATAATTTATGGAGTAGATAGCTAGGCAAAAATGTATTAATCATTTTATAAATAATTTGCATTTCATGAAGTGCTTAAGGAAAGAATTGTTCTTCCTTTCTCCTCATCTTGAATCTTGAATTACAGAAGAAACTCAGACATATCTACTGTTGCTATGATGTTAGGATAAGAACTTCTATCTTATACTTTTCCCCTAGTCTACCACCCTCCTCACCAACCACTGATTTTCAGGAAACAAATTACTGGTAGATATGATTGGTCAGAACCAAGGATATTTACTGTATAATATATTAAGTTCAAGAGTACTTTTTTCCTTTTTTCACAACCTTCTATCATATGGTAAATATCCAGATCCATTTCTTTCTTCCTCTCTCCAACCACACCTTGAAAGCTCAAGTTCCATGATGTAGCTGAGCACAGCTGGCTACAAAACGTTGCATTTTGAGTTATTGGGATTCTGTTATAAAGTACTATTATCTATTCCCATATTTTGATTGTGTCTTAGGTATCAACAATTAAGAACTCGACAGAACAATGAATTACAGTTATAGTGGTAAAAGGCTTGGACTTGAAGTCAGATAAGATCTAGTTTCAATACTAAGACGGTATAACATTCAGTATTTTCGTGAACTTGTCTGAAGTATTACTTTCTTCTGAAAAATGAACTACCTACCTGGAAGGGTTCAAATGAAGATTAAATATGATGATTTCCTAGAAGTGTTTGCCATCTACCATATGGAAAAAGCTCAATAAATGTTATCACGATAACAATAATGAGTTGATACCTAACATTGACACATTATAATGTAGAATTAATTTGTCCTTCATATCACTGTCACCATTGTAACTGAACAAATGACGCTCAAATTTTAAATTCTTTTTTTTCTAACTTAATTTTTTAAAGTAAAAACTCCTGCAGTTCCGTTAAAAAGATGTAGACAGTATTTTTGTGATAATGACAAAACTTTTGAGCCACCTTCCTCTTCACACCAAGCAAAAAGAAGAGAAAGTCTTCCTATGGTGAGTGAAAATGAAATTCTTCCATTCTTCACCCTAGAAAATGCCATTCTGTGAGCCAGCCAGTTCAAGGAATGTTGACTATCGACAACATTCTTTCCATTTTAAAGACACATTGGTTGGAAAAAATATTGTCATAGAAAGTAAGGTAGTATACTTGAAAAGGAGCCAGGAAGATGGGCTATATGGTTTACTCAGTCGAGTTCATCGAACACAGCACAATAGATTAGCTGCTGTCCTTTTCACTTGAATTGTATGGCCACTCTAATCCTACAGACACTGCTACAGTCATAGTATATCTTCACTCACTCAGTCCCCATACTCTCTAGGATATATACTACATGAAAAAGACTGTGGAAGGGAGGGAGCCAGGGAGAAGGGGCTGTGGCCATACACCAGAGAGACTGCTGTGGTGGCTGTACTAGCTGTGGAACTGGCAAGAAACTGCTAATGTTCCCTCTGGAATCAATGTAGAGTTGTATTAATAGAGAGGAGAAAACCTGTGGTAACTATGTAGGCCTTAATGCCATGTCTGTAAATTAATATCTTCTGATGGTCATGAATTCATTGTAAAAAGAGATGCACTAATATCAGGAATAATAAAAGCCATGTTGAGTGGCCCAGGTCAGTTTGCTGAGAATGAAACCAGTGGGGTCAATTTCATAGAGCTCCCTAGGCATGTGCTAAAAAAAAAAAAAAAAGCATGCAAGGTTCTTTACACTAACAGCTCCACCAAGATTCCTGAATTCTCAATTATACTCAAAATTGCACTGGAAATGCTGATGGCTGAAGACTTCCTAGATTGCTAAAGAAAATAAATTATAGTAAATGTTCGGTATTTAATACCTGTAGTTCAGTTAGTAATTTATTCACATTTAGATGTTGCCCGTATGCAATTGAACTATAAAAGTAGATTTTCTTCTGCTCTTTTGCATAGCATTCAGAATTGAAATTTGTTTGTTATATTTACAAGTTAAGGATGTTTTCACAAACTAAGAAATAAACAATGTCAGTTCAAATGAAAGAAAAAAAAGACTGTGCAGACAGAGCAAAACAGTTAAGCTACCTAGGTTAGCTATTCTGGACCCAATAAACTGTAGTGGTAGAGTTTGCTGTGATACTCATCATATGAAGGGAAATATTTGCAAAAATAACCGTATAGTTGTTTAGTAAGTTATATATTATTTGATAAGATGGATAGTCTTAGTCTGACAAATACACAAAGTTTGTTAGGCACAAACTTAAACAAGCCAGATAGTATCCTCAAGAGGAGAAAATGTTGGTAGGGTTAGGTGTTGAACTCAGGGCCTTGTGCTTATTAGGCTGCTGTTCTAACACTTGAGCCATATCCCCATCCATTTTTATTTATTTATTTTCAAATAGGTCCTAACTTTTCTCATGCAGGCAGGTCTGAATTGCAGTCTTCAACTTTATACCTCTTCACATAGCTGCGGATTTTGTGTGTGTGTGTGTGTGTATGTGTGTGTGTGTGTGTGTTTTTAATATAGAGTCTTGTGACCCTTTTGCTATTTGGCCTCAAATTGTGGTCTTCCCACTTTCTACTTCCTGTGTGCCAAAAATTACAAACATGAGCTACTGTGCTTAGTTGAAATATTAGTTTAAATAAATCTTGACTATAACACATTTACAATTTGAGACAGAAAGGAAAGTTGGCACCAAAAGATATTTTCTTTAACTTAAACTTTAGGTTAGGGTAGAGTATGTGCTTGTCCTGGATACAAATTTAGATCTTTTGTTTGCTTTTATAATTACTAACTGCTCAATATTAAAAGGTAAGCCTGGGGGTAGTCCTTGTTTTGTATCTTCATATTTTATAGTTGCACATTTGACAACAGTAAGATTGCCTTACAGAATAGACAAATTTATTGTGTATATTTTCCATATCCCTCATAAACACCAAAGCAAAATTTCAGAACAACATACTTTAGAAGGCTTTAAGGACCTACACATTTAGAAAATGAACATACGTTGAGAATTTATTGGAGGATAAATGAGTCGGTTCATCAGTCTTCATTTATTAATCTAGAGTTATATACCCAGAATTTAAAAAGGATACATGAATATAAAGACCATGTTTCCTATAAGACTTTATTACCTTGATAATGAAATATGTATAAGATATAATATATATGGGTTTGCAAAACTATATAACTCTGAAATTATTAACTAATCTAAAGAAGAGAAATAAGATTAGTCAGGTTTTATGCATGAGATTTTATATAACAGTCCATATTCATTGTGGTCTTATTTTGTTTTGTCACTGTCCTTAGAATTATATATATTATGTAATTTATGTAATATATTGCATATTATATATTTTCACATAATGTATAATGTAATATATATATATATATATGTATATATATATATATATATACACACACACATATACATCTGTTTAGATGCAAAGAGGGCAAGTAACTTGGCAGAGTCACCCAGCTAGGAAGAGGTAGGCTAAGATTTCCACCAGATTTGGTTCTGAGGATCACTCCTTGATTCTCTCATAAGAAAGAGAGGGGTCTGAGCAGAGGGAATTAAAGGCATCCCAGGATAAACAGTGGTACTGACAAGGGGTAGAATTAAACTCTCTTGTAAGTTTTGTAAGTTTTTAAGAGATTAGTGTTTTGAATTTCTAAAATCATGTGTGAGACTTAAATAGTATACAATAATATTCATAAAGCCTTAAGATATACTTGTTTATATGTCTTGAGTATTATGTACTGTATTTTTTCTCTTGTATATAATTTTAACAGAAGTAAGAAATTCTGATGCCTTATGTGGTTGCTACTCTTATTCTATTTTCCTGGAAATCTGCTACATAAATCAAGATATATTTAAGTTTACTCTTTTTTTTAAGTCTGCAACATTTTAACAAGAAACTTGGTTGCATAAAACATGAATACATTTTGAACATAAGGAGAAATAAACACTTTAGCAACAGTGATTTACTGTGTGTCAGTACCATGTCAGAGATCAACCCTCTCACCATAAAGTTTCTAATCTTCTACCCTGACAGCATCACACCATTTCTGATATTCTACAAGATATAGAAGAAAAACAAGAAAACTTACTAGAGTTTGAGATAAGAAACTCAGATGATGCAGGTAAACATGTACTTATATTCAGGTATGATTATTTCATAAGTACAGTGTTGATATTGTCTTAACATCTTAAGGTATGTATTAAAATCCCACAATGGCTGAAAATACCTTTTTATATGAAAATATTTAAAGTGTCAAATTAGGAGCTGATAACATGAATAAGTAGTTTGTGTACTTGTTTGAAAGTGCCTCTATAGGGCTGGGAAGGTGGCTGAGTGGTAGAGTGCTTGCCTTGCATGCATGAGGCCCTGGGTTCGATTCCTCAGGCCCACATAAGCAGAAAAGGCCAGAAGTGGCACTGTGGCTCAAGTGGTAGAGTGCTAGCCTTGAGCTGAAGAGCTGAGGGACAGCGCCCAGGCCCAGAGTTCAAGCCCCATGACCAAATAAAAAAGTGCCTCTATATTGAATAACTTGAGGTATTCAATACCATGATTACAGATAAGCTACTACTGGTGAATGATGATATGACCAAAAGCATAAGGAAGGGAAGGGTAGATAAAGATAACATACTAATCCAGGATCCTAGAATTTAGTCAGTGATATAGCAGAATTAGAATTTAGACTGGTCTGTGCTTTCTTAGTACAATGTTGTAGCCTGTTTGTCATACAGGCTAGAACATAATTAGATAAACTTTGACTTAGCTATCTAGGCCATTAATATTGGGAAAATATGTAGGTAATGATGTGTTGTTGTGGTTTTGTGTGTGTGTGTGTGTGTGTGTGTGTGTGTGTGTGTGTGTGTGTAGTTGGGCATGAACTCTGGGCCTGGGCGCTGCCCCTCAGTTTTTTAGCTCAAGGCTAGTGCTCTACCACTTGAGCCACAGTGCCACTTCTGGTTTTCTGGTGGTTTATTGGAGGTAAGAGTCTCACGGACTTTCCTGGATGGCTTTGAATAGTGATCCTCAGATCTCAATCTCCTGAGTAGCTAGGATTACAGGCGTGAGCCACTGGCTCCTGGCTGTTGTGTGTTTTGTTTTGTTTTTTAATTAACAGTAGCTCTAAACTTTTGTGAAAAAAAATTAACATTTGCTATCCTTTAAATTATCAACTTTATATTCTTACTATGTTTGGAGAACTATACATTGAGAAGATGTTAGAGATAAAAGAGGTGATGGATAATATACTTGCCAAGCAGAAAGCAGAAAGGGATGATCTGGCCAAAAAATACAGGTAAGTAAAAACAAAAAGGAATGTTTTACAGTTTCTAGGATTTATCCATTTCTAGCTACAGTGCTGTTGTAGTTGAAACTTATCCCCCAAAGGCCCAGATATTAAAGGTTAATTCTCACCTTGGCACTTTTGGGAGGTGGAGGGAACTTTGAAGTTGTTCTTAGTAGGCCTGTAGCAAGACAAAACATCACATATATTTCAAAGTCAGAATCCAGAACAGGCAGAGGAAAAGTCCAGGGTTCACTATCTTAGCTCCTCAGAACTAGAAGACCTCCCAATTAAAACATTGAGAAAAGAAGTTTACTATCTTAAAATGTTGTCTATCGTAAAGAGGTGTATGAAAGCTTTTCTGATCATGAGTCCTTCAGATAAAATTTCTTTCTTTGGCACACTTCAAAATTTATACAATTTTTTTCTTTTTATTATTAGATGACTTTCTAAGCAATTAATTAATGAGTTTACTTTGTGTTTTTATATACTTCTAACTTACCTTGTAAATACTGGCCATATCTATATTTACATTGTTTTTTGTATATATTTTTATTGTAAAGATACTGTATAGAGGGGTTACAGATATATGAGTAAGGTAATGAGTACATTTCGTATCGAACACTGTTACCTCCTCCTTTGTTTTTCCCTACCATCTCCTTCCCATCTCCCAAACTCCTCCCTCCCCACCCAAAATCATAAAGTTCATTTTAACATATTGTCTTGTACATCTCATTGTTACAATAAGTCAACCTGTATCCTTATTTCAGCATTTTGTTATTTCCCTTCCCCTCTCCAAATTAGAAAAGTGTATATACAAGATGCAGGGCACTGGAATCAAATACAGTGACAGGGGTTATACCATGGGGGAAGAACATACAAAACAATAAAATCCCATAGTACATTAAAAACAACAGCAACAAAGAAAAACCCTCTTGTGTCCTTATCTTAGGGTTCATTTTGCTTATCATCATCTTATATGGTACATAGCTTTTGAGCTTATCTGATAAGATTATCTTAGACATATACTAATTATTGCAAATAAGGGAAACCATGGGACCTATATTTCTCTGAGTCTGGCTTACTTCATTTAATATGATTTTATCCAAGTCTTCCTATTTCCTAACAAATGAGGCAGAGTCATTCTTTTTGATGGAAGCATAGAATTCTATTGTATATATACCACATTTTCTTGATCCATATCTACTGAGGAACATTTGGGTTGGTTCCATAGCTTAGATATGGTGAATTATGCTGCAAAAAACATAGTTGTGCTGGTAGCTTTAGTATGGCCATGCTTGTGATCATTTGGGTAAGTGCACAGAAGTGGGATTGCTGGGTTATAGGGGAACCGCTTTGTGTGGTCATTTGAGGAACCTCCATACTTCTTTCCAGAGTGATTGAACAAGTTTACACTCCCACCAACAATGCAATAGGGTTCCCTTTGGCCACATCCCCTCCAGCATCTGTTGTTACTAGATTTCTTGATTATAGCCATTCTAACTGGGGTGAGGTGGAATGTCAATATGGTTTTGATTTGCATTTCTTTCATGGCTTAGAGAAGTTGAGCATTTCTTCATGTGTCTATTGGCCATTCTTATTTCCTCTTCAGTGAAGTCTCTCTTTAAGTCTTTAGCCCACTTATTAATGGGTGGTTGTTTCTATGAGGATTTGTTGTTGGGGGGGTTAATTTTTTGAGTTCTAAGTATAGTTTAGATATGAGATCATTGTCCATTATATGGCTAGTGAAGGTCTTCTCCCAATCTGTGGGCTTTCTATTGATCTTGCTAGCTATGTCCTTTGCCATGCACAAACTGCAGTTTCATGCAATCGCATTTGTCCAGCCTTTCTTTGATTATTGTGTTTCTGGGTCTTCATCAAGAAAATTTCGCACCGTGCTAAGGAGCCCTTGAGTTTCTCCTAATCCTTTCTGTAATGTTTTCAGGGTGTCTGCTTTGACTTTGAGGTCTGTGATCCATTTGGAGATGATTCTGGTACAGGATGATATATAAGGATCTAGCTTTAGTTTTCTATAGGTGTTTAACCAATTTTGCCAACATCATTTATTACTGAAGAGGCTGTCTTTCTTCCATTCTAAGTTTTAGCTCCCTTATTGAAGTTTAGGTGGCTATAGGTGTGTGGGTTCATTTCTGGGTCTTTAGTTCTATTCCACTGGTCCTCAGACCTGTTCTTGTGCCAGTACCAAGCTGTTTTGATTACTATGCCTTGGTAGTAAAGTTTGAAATTTGGTATTGATATTCCTCTAGCAATGTTCTTTCTGCTAAGGATTGTTTTTGCTATTCAGGGTCTTTTATTGTTCCACATGAAATTTGAGGCTGCTTCTTCTATTTAACTGAAGAATGAGGTTGGGATTTTGATAGATATCACATTGAATTTGTAGATAGCCTTTGGCAGTATTGCCATTTTCACAATGTTAATCCTCCAAATCCAGGAGCCTGGGAGGTTTTTCCACTTCCTTAGTTCTGCTTTAATTTTGTTTTTCAGGCTTTTAAAGTTTTTATCATAGAGGTCCTTCACATCTTTAGTTAACTCTTAGGTATTTTATTTTTTGTGGGGCTATTACAAAAGGAGTTGCTTTCCTGATTTCAGCTGCACTCTTCTCATTGCTGGCATACAGAAATACCATTGATTTTTGAGGGTTAATTTTATACCCTGCTACATTGCCAAAGTTTCAAATCAGCTTAAGTAACTTGGGAGTATAGTCCATGGGGTTCTTTAAATATAAGATCATGTCATCTGCAAAGAGGGAGAGTTTTACTTCATCTTTCCCTATTTGGATCCCCTTTATGTTTTCATCTTGTCTTATTGCTCTAGCTAGGCACTCTAATACTAAATGGAAGAGAAAGGAAGAGAGTGGACATCCTTGTCTCATTCCTGAAGTTAGAGGAAATGGCTTTAGCTTTTCACCATTAAGTATAATATTAGCTGTAGGTTTGTCATACACAGCCTTTATTATATTGAGGAATGTTCCACGGATTTCCTAGTTTTTCCAGAGCTTTCAGCATAAAGGGGTGTTGGATCTTGTCAAATGCTTTTTCTGCATCTATTGAGATAATCACGTGGTTCTTACCTTTGCTCTTGTTGGTGTGATGAATTATATTAATGGATTTGCATATGGTGAACCAGCTTTGCATCCCTGAAATGAATCCTGTTGGATCATGGTGTATGATATTTTGGATGAGTTGTGGAAGTTGACTGGCCAAAATTTTGTTGAGAAATTTGCATTGATGTTCATCAAAGCAATGGTTCTATAATTCTCTTTTTTGATGAGTCCCTGCCTAGTTTTGGGATGAGAGTTATGATGGCTTCATAGAAAGAGTTTGGTAGTGAACTTTCACTTTCAATTTCATTGAAGAGTTGGAGGAGTATTGGTGTGAGTTGTGCTTTGAAGACCTTGTAGAATTCAGCTGTAAATCCATTTGGTCCTGGGCTTTTCTTGGGTGGGAGGTCTCTTATTGCTGTTTCAATTTCAATCCTTGATATGGGGCTAAGTTGGTTTAAATCATCTTGGTTTAGTTTCAGCATGTGGATATTTGCTGGAAATTCATCCATTTCTTCCAGATTCTCAAACGTATTAGCATAAAGGGTGGAGAAATATTCCCTTATAATGTTCTGAATCTTGGTTGTTTCTGTAGTGATGTTTCCATTTTCATCTGTGAGCTTGTTTATTTTGGTGTCTTCTCTTCTTATTATGATAAGATTTGTGAAAGGTCTGTAAATTTTGTTAATTTTTTTGAAGAACCAACTCTTTGTTTTGTTGATTCTTTCTATGATTTTTTTTTTGACTCTAATTCACACAATTCGGATTTAATTATTTGTTTCCATCTACTGGATTGGGGTTTGGCTTGTTGCTCTTTTTCAAGCAGCTTCAAGTATCTTGTTAAATTGTTGGTTTCAGATCTCTCCAATTTGTTGATGTAGGAACTCAGAGCTATAAACTTGCCTCTGAGTACTGCCTTTTCTGTGTCCCAGAGGAGCTGGTAATTTGTGTGTTCATTTTTGTTAAGTATCATGAACATTTGAATTTCCTGTCTAATCTCTCCATGATTCACTGGTGGTTCAACAGTGTGTTGTTCAGCCTCCATGTGTTACAGGATTTTCTTTGATGACATTTGGTGTTGAATTCTAATTTTATTTCCTTGTGGTCTGAGAGAATGCAGGGCATATTTTCAATATATCTGAATTTGGTCAAATTTGCTTTGCGACCTAAAATGTGGTCTATTTTGGAGAATGTTCCGTGTGCTGCTGAGAAGAACGTGTATTCTGATGCTACTGGGTGAAATATTTTGTAGATGTCTGTTAAGTCTATTTGGTCTATGCAGTTGTTTAAATCTGAGGTTTCTCTGTTGAGTTTTTGCAGGGTTGTTCTATCCAGAGGTGCATGTTAAAGTCCTCAACAATTAATATCTTTGGATCTATGTGTGATGTTAGGGAAAATAGTGTTTCTTGGATAAATTTGGGTGCTCCGTTGTTTGGTGAATAGACATATAGAATTGTAATGTCCTCCTGAAGAAGAGCTCCCTTAATTAGTACGTAATGACCTTCCTTATCTCTTCTCACTAATTTCAATTTGAGTCTATTTTATCTGATATTAGGATTGCAACTCTCACCTGTTTATGGGGGCCATTTGCCTGGTAGAATTTATTCCAGCCTTTCACTTTCAGAATGTTTGTTGTTGTGGGCAAGGTGTATCTCTAGTTTGTTTTGTAAGCCATAATCGATTTTTGGAGTTTGAGGAATTCATGAAGAGTCTCAACTTTATCCTGAGAACCAGAACTTTTTTTTTTTTTGGTCAGTCATGGGGCTTGATCTCTGGGCCTGAGTGCTATCCCTCAACTCTTTAGCTCAAGGCGAGCGTTCTACCACTTGAGCCACCATGTCACTTCAGTTTTCTGGTGGTTTATTGGAGATAAGATTCTCACGGACTTTCTTGCCCTGGCTGGCTTTGAATGGTCATCCTCAGATCTCAGCCTCCTGAGTAGCTAGGATTA